ATCATGCTTGGGTCGAAGCCGGTTGCTTGGTTCACAGGAGTTTCATTTGACTCAACAGCTGGTCTTTGAGTTGTGCCTGTTGGAATCCCAACCACTAGACCATTGGGATAAAAGGGCTTGTTAAGTAGCGGGTCAGTGCGCCCAAAACCCCCCCAGGACAACGAGCCTGTAACCCTTCCCTAGGATCAATCGGGGATCACCAGTGGACCTCTGACACCCCCCCGCACTGGGATGCCCGAAGTGCACACAATGGGATTCGAACCCGAGACCTTCGCTCTGATACCATGTCAAGAATCCCAACCACTAGACCATTGGGATAAAAGGGCTTGTTAAGTAGCGGGTCAGTGCGCCCATAACCCCCCAGGACAACGAGCCTGTAACCCTTCCCTAGGATCAATCGGAGATCACCAGTGGACCTCTGACAGTGCCTCCCTCTGTTCGTAGTCCAAAAGCTGGCGGTGGAGTAGGAGTAGTGCCGGGAGATCCAGTAGACGAGCTTCTTTCTTTTTGTGTTACCACGCCTTCTGTTGTTGTAGGAATTTGAACAAAGTTGAGTTTTGTCTTACTAGCTCTCATACCATGTTGGGCTGAGAAAAGCCCTTAGGATCGTTTTCAAGACTAAGACTCATAATAGTGATGTATTAGCGGAAGCGTCTTAGTGAACTCGTTGAACCACCTTGCATTGGTATGTGAGAACAAGATAAGTTAATAATAGCAAAGAGATATAGGGCTTTATATGATTACAAGGAATATGAAAGGTTTAACTAACTGTAACTGCTGTTGCGGTTCGATACAGTGACGACTCGGGTAACTGCTCAATAGCGAGTCGGTTATGTGTCCTTGCTGTCGCGCTGCTTCTCGGCGAGTCAAAGGTCGCTGACCTTTGACCTTCACTTAACCTCTTGCTGTTGTCAGTCAACCGCTTTGGTTGACTCGCTGTTACTGCGTTGTAGTTCGCTTCGCTTACGTTATAGTGTTCGACACATCAAAAGCGCGAACTATATGTTTCCAACAGTAGTTACCCAGGTTGTATATTTAATATAGGTGTGCACATTTTTGCTGTTAGGGCGGGTCACGTTTAAATGAACCTGATACGTTTAATGCGGTCCTGTACATTAAAACACAATAAAGAAGGGTTAGCGTTGGTGGAAACTTGGAATCATTTTCCACCCTTTTCTAACGTGCTGGACCGCACTGAACGAACCAGGTACATTTATGTGAGAATGATAGACGAAAGAATGATGGAATTAGGAAATGAGAAGGGTACAAGTAGGAAACACATAAGTGTTGTACCCTCTAAGGACTACCCCACTACAGCCTAGACCGACTATAGTAAATATATGTTTGACACACCCCCATAGGCAAAGTGGGGGAGAACAAGGGGTCACAAGACCAGTCAAGAAAGACAAAGCAAACTCAGGGTGGATCACAAAGTCACCACACAGTCTGAGCACAAGCAAAGGGCCAGAAGGCCAGTTCACATGCAGAGTTATATAAAGGAAAGAAAACAATACAGTGAACACAACCTAGCAAGTGTAAGCATGCAGGTATAAGTATATAGAGTACAGTACAAGCAGAGTCAAGAAGTCAACAAGTGAGGCACAGTAGGTACAAGGCCTAACACAGTACAGAAACGCTGATGATCACAGGGCTGAAGTGCCTTGGTGAAGACATCAGCAGTGTTGGCCTAAGAGGCCACGTAAGCAAGACGAAGCTGGCCACGCTGCTGCAACTCTCGAGCAAGGAAGTAGCGCAGAGCAATGTGCTTCGTTCTGTGCTCCAGTCTGTGCTCCTGACACAAGGCCATCATCGCCTTGTTGTCGACGTACAGAACTGGAGGAGAACGAGGCGCCTCTCCCAAGTCGGTCAGCAGGTAGGTGAGCCAGCGAAGCTCCTGTGCAGCCATGGCCCCAGCGTAGATCTCAGCCTCACAACTGGAGCTGAGAACAGAAGAAGAGCGGGTAGACCGCCAAGAGACAGAACCGGAGCCAAGGCTGAAGGTGTAACCCTGTGACGACCGCTGCATAGCCAAGTCGACAACCCAGGAGGCGTCAGCGTGACCAGTGAGGACAACTCGAGCCCGTCCTCCAAGCACGAGCCCCATGCCCGATGTACTGCACAAGTATCGCAACACCCTCTTCGCAGCATCCCAGTGCACCTTTCGGTGCCTGCCGGGAGCCACGTAGCGAGCCAGAAGGCTGAGAGGGTATGCGAGGTCAGGTCGTGTGCAAGTCATCAGGTACATGAGGCAGCCCACAAGCTCTGGATATGGGCCACTCGGCTCTACGGACTCGTCCGAAGGTGGAGCTGAGAGCGAGTGACCGGTAGGCAGAGGAGTGGACTGTGGCGAGGAGTAGGTGAAGCCGAAGCGCTGAAGGACCTGCTGCACCATGTGTGATTGAGTCAAGGTAATGGTGCGCTGTGCTCTGTCCTGGGTGATCCGCAAGCCAAGATAGCTTGTCAGCTCACCCAGGTCTGTGCACGTGTGTCTCTTCTGCAGCTCGGACTTCACGTGGGCGAGTGCCTCCGTGTCAGCAGTAGCAAAGACAAGGTCGTCTACGTACAAGAACGTAGAACGGCGGCAGAGTAGCGTTAGTGCGTAGAAATAGAGAAGGGTCAGCAGTGGAAGGAGCAAAACCAAGAGCAGCAAGAGTCGTCCTGAGCGTGTCGTGCCACTCACGGGGCGCCTGGCGGACACCGTAGACTGGCCGCCGGAGGCTCCACTGGGTACCAGCAGGAAACGACCCAGTGAAGCCAGGTGGGCGGTGCTGCCGGATCTCCTCGTGCAGGCTGCCCTGTAGGAAGGCTGTGCTGAAGTCAAGCGAGTGGAGCTCGTAGTCACGCTGAGCAGCAACGTGCAGCAGTACCCGAAGAGTGGTCATCTTCGGGGTAGGGGAGAAGGTCTGAAAGAAGTCAACTCCCTGTCGCTGACTGAAGCCACGTGCAACGTAACGCGCCTTGAAGGCAGGCGGAGAACCCGGCGGCCGCTTCACCCTGAAGATCCACATGCCACTGACGATGTTCGCCCCAGGTGGGGGAACCTCGTCTACGTAGGTGCCTGTGGACTTCCAGGAAGCCATCTCTGCGTCCATGGCTGCCTGCCACTGGGAGGAGTAGGGACCCTCTATCGCCTCTGCGTAAGAGCGCGGGGTCGGGATGTCTAGTGCATCCGGGTCTCCCTCAGGGGCAAGCAGCATGGACACGAGATGAGGTGAAGCAGCAGCAAAGCACTCAAGGTCCTCCTGCCTGTCCTCAAGGACGTCCGTGCCAAGAGCACACTCACCCCCGACGGACGGAGGACAGACATACACAGACGCAGACTCAGCAACAAGACTAGCGGCGTAGTCTAGGCGACAGGCTGCAGCAAAGTCAACAAGCTCAGCAACAAGAGCAGACGCAGCAGAGAACTCAAACAGGGGGTCAGTGACAGCAGTGGCCAGAAAGCGCGTGACAGTAGGACTAGCAGCATGAAGGGAGTCAGACTCCGGGTCCGGACCGTCAGGAAGAGAGGACGCAGGAGGAGAGGGCAGAGGGACACGCTGTGGAGCAGTGGAAGGACGCAGAGTCATAGAGTGAGTGCCAGAGACAGGAGGAAGACGCGGACGCGAAACACGACCAGCGCGAACAGAACGGACAGGCGACGTAGAACGAGACGCAGGCGACACAGGACGCGATTCAGGCTCACGACGCTCTGTAAGACCTCTAGTCGGACCAGAGTAAGGAGAAGGACCAGGCATCGGAGAGGCCGGCTGTAACTGCGACTGAGACGGGACAGGCGGTGGACTCACGGAAGGAGGAGGAGGACCAGGAGAAGGTGGGGAGCCAAGAACCTGCTGAAGAAGCGGAACGTAGTACGGCCGCGGCCGCGCAGCGCCTCATGCTGCCGTACCTTTTTCCTGACCTTGCCGCCTTTTCCACAGTTGCTGACCTAGTTGCTCACCTCCGCACTAGTGACGCTCGCTACCGCGCTGCCCTTCCCACTGAGTTTCTTCCCACGAACTCCCCCCCCATGTACATCACCCTTTACTACCTAGTCACCCGCCTCCCTAACACTCTCTCCTCAGTCAGGGATCACTTTCTCTCCCTTTGCCCTACCGAGCTGACTGTCGACTTGCTAGAGGAGCGCCTTGCTGCAGCTGAGAAGAGTATCTTAGCTGTTGGTGCTTCTCGCGGTGACCGTCGCACCCCCTTCTTTGACAATTTAAACGTGACCCGCCCTTACAAATACATGCAGCAGGTTTGTTTTCGTTACTGGTTCAATTTCCCCTGATGGGTACAATTTTTCGTGATTGGTCAAAATCCCTGCGCTCCCATTGGTCGAAATTCGCGCACATTGAAATTCTCTTCAGAATTCGAATGTGAATTCGCGAGGGTGCGCAGGGTCAGATGCGACCCTGCGCAGATGAACTTCCGCGAACTCCTGCACCAGTTGCGCCCCCTGCATACATGGACGAGATATTACTGCTGCACCTGCGGAATCCACAGTACCTCGTGTACAGGTACCTCGGTACATCCTGTGGGCGCAACTGGTGTAGGAGTTCGCGGAAGTTCATGCTCTCACTGTAACAACCACGACCCTTATAACAACGGGCAACCATGTGTTAAGTATAAATCCTCCTTAACAATATATATAAAATCAGGATACAAGGCTCCCATGATTAAACTAATCCCATCAAGGGATAAATTAGCCTTGATAATACTCTTGAAGCTTGAGAGGAGAAAGAGAGCTTGAAGAAGGTTGATGAAGCTTTAGCAAGTAGGTAGGTAGCTTCTTGTGTCATAATATATTACATATATATTTCTGTATAACTGCATATAGTTATAGCTATAGTGTAGTTACTGTTTTAGTCCCTGTAGGTGGTGCACCCTTTGCCATCTCTTGCTCCTATATCTTGTACTTTCTTCTCTTAGTGAATCATCTTTTCCTCTCTCACTTTTACTCTCGACACTCGTGTCTAGCCTACCCTAGTATGGCTCCTATCTCCTACTAAGTTACTATCTCAGCTGCCCTGCTGCCCTGTGCGCCCCGCGCGCCCTGCAGCCCTGCGCGCCCCGCGCGCCCTGCTGTCCTGCTGCCCTGCGCGCCCTGCTCGCCCTGCAGCCCTGCGCGCCCTGCTGCCCTGCAGCCCTGTGTGCCCTGCTGCCCTGTGCGCCCCGCGCGCCCTGCTGCCCTGCAGCCCTGCGCGCCCTGCAGCCCTGCTGCGCCCCGCGCGCCCTGCTGCCCTGCTGCCCTGTGCGCCCCGCGCGCCCTGCAGCCCTGCGCGCCCTGCTGTCCTGCTGCCCTGCGCGCCCTGCAGCCCTGCGCGCCCCGCGCGCCCTGCTGCCCTGCAGCCCTGCGCGCCCCGCGCGCCCTGCTGCCCTGCAGCCCTGTGCGCCCTGCTGCCCTGCAGCCCTGTGCGCCCTGCTGCCCTGTTCGCCCCGCGCGCCCCGCTGCCCTGCAGCCCTGTGCGCCCTGCTGCCCTGCTGCCCTGTGCGCCCCGCGCGCCCTGCAGCCCTGTGCGCCCCGCGCGCCCTGCTGCCCTGTGTGCCCTGCTGCCCTGCAGCCCTGTGCGCCCTGCTGCCCTGCTGCCCTGTGCGCCCCATGCGCCCTGCTGCCCTCTGCACGCGCCATGCACAGCCCCTACCCCGCCCCCCCCCCCCCTTCTCCTCCCTCTCCCTGCTGCACGTGCAGCAGTTTGGGTGGGAGGGGGGGGGAGGGGAGGGGAGGGTGTGAGGGGGAGGTTGCACCTACAGCGCCAACCTGCCTCCTCTCTCTCACAGCCGCACCTGCTGCTGTGGGGGGGAGTGTGAAGTGGTGGGGAGGCTCAGGGGATGTGGGTGGTGGGTGACACTGCTGCAGCAACTCCTGCCACGCCTCCTCCTCTCTCTCCTCACTGCTGCTGCTACTGTTGTGCTAGGGGAGGTTGAGGGGGTGCTGTGAGTCCAGCTGCAGCATCAGCTGCCTCCTCCTCATTTGCCCTCTCCTTCCGCTGCGCAGGGTGTACCCCTTCAGGGTGTTCTGCACATGGCTATTCCTGCATGCAGTTAGGAGGTGTGCCAGAATATATTATATATATATTTCTGTATAACTGCATATAGTTATAGATGTAGTGTAGTTACTGTTTTAGTCCCAGTAGGTGGTGCACCCTTTGCCATCTCTCGCTCCTATATCTTGTACTTTCTTCTCTTAGTGAATCATTTTTTCCTCTCACTTTTACTCTCGACACTCATGTCTAGCCTACCATAGTATGGCTCCTATCTCTTACTAAGTTACTATCTCAACATCTTGTAGAGCTTGTCCTTGAAGTAAACACGACTCTAGTTGTGTAGGAGAGCTTGTTAGGAGAAAATGACTTGGTAAGTTGGAGTTGGGAAGTGGGAATGAGCCTCCAAGCTTCAACCCCTTCCACAATATCCCTTGGGGCTCTTCCCAACCATGGCTTCCATGGTTGAAGAGCTTCTAGGCTTGGAGCCTATGTGGCATCTTTGTTTGGTTTGGAAAACCCAAGTTAATTGTGTTGTATAGTTGCTAGGTTCTTTGTATGGATTCTATCAACATTTGGCACCATGTGATTGGTTGGAAGGTTGAGGTTTCGAAATCAGAAACCAATCTTCCTCTCCTTCGTGATTGCCTTCACGTCACTCCGCGGTAGTTAGTAGAGTAGGCGTTACACTCGCCCATACACCTGTAGGCGTTACACATACGCCATGGCCCGACCTTGGCGCGCCCATGGAGATTTCGTACGGCTGGCTTTATTTTCTTGCCCCTGCTTCGTCTCATTCGCGCTTGGCCTCCTCCTAGTCCCATCACTTCCCGTCGCCTTGACGCTTCCAAATTTCGCGCAAGCACCCAGAAACGGAGAGCGGCGGCATTGGACGGCCGGGTTGCGAAATGTCTCGCTCAATTCGCACGCGTCGAACGGATCGCGGCACGCATCTAGATTCGCTGTGCCGAATAGTATCAGTATGCAGCAGCATGGTGCGAGGTTCGCCGTGAGCAGGGAGGCGGCGGCGGGCGTGGCGTCCGCTCCAGCATCGCCGCCGGCGGGACCCGCCGACCCGATCCTCCGCACGTCCCAACGTGAGGCCCTACGGTCACGGACCCGCCCCGCCCTCCCCCTTGCGAACTTCTCCGCGGCCCTCTTGCACCCGCGGTCAGGGTCTCCCATGACTCACGAGCCAATTGCCCCACCATTTCCCCCCATGAGATTGAAGCACATGTGTCCGAAGCAGTTTTGGATTGCATGTATCAGAAATAGAAAAGGCTTATTTTCGCAGAAAATTTCACCCCACTCCATTCACACCCTCAAGTCTGCAGCGTATTGCGCTCCTGCCGCACCATTGGCCACACTACTATCGCCCCATTGCCCTAAGTGCCGCCCAATTGCCCTCGCTGCCGCACCATTACCCTCGCTGCCGCACCACCCTAGCTGCCGCACCATTACCCTCGCTGCTGCACCATTACCCTCGCTGCTGCACCATTACCCTCGCTGCCGCACCATTACCCTCGCTGCCGCACCATTACCCTCGCTGCCACGCCATTTACCCTCGCTGCTGCACCATTACCCTCGCTGCCACGCCATTTACCCTTGCTGCTGCACCATTACCCTCGCTGCCGCACCATTACCCTCGCTGCCGCACCATTACCCTCGCTGCCGCACCATTACCCTCGCTGCCGCACCATTACCCTCGCTGCCGCACCATTACCCTCGCTTAGGGATGAGCAAGGGGCGAACACGAACATGTTCGTGTTCGCCCCTAGACGAACACATCCGTTTGCCGAACCGAACAGTGTTCGGTTCGGCGAACACTTTAAGCAAAAACACGTGTTCGCCGTTCGCCTGTGAAGGCATGTTCGGGCGAACATCGAACATGTTCGTGTTCGTTGCGGGGCAAATTGCAGCAGCGGCCCGAACACGAACGTGTTCGGGCGAACATCGAACACTGTTCGGCGAACAATTTAAGCAAAAAAAACAAACCTGTTCGGTTCGCCTCGAACACGTTCGAGGCGAACCGAACAGGTGTTCGCCCTTGTGCTCATGTCTACCCTCGCTGCCGCGCCATTTACTCTTGCTGCTGCACCATTACCCTCGCTGCCACACCATTACCCTCGCTTCCGCACCATCACCCTCGCTGCTGCACCATTACCCTCGCTGCTGCACCATTACCCTCGCTGCCGCACCATTACCCTCGCTGCCGCGCCATTTACCCTCGCTGCTGCACCATTACCCTCGCTGCCACGCCATTTACCCTTGCTGCTGCACCATTACGTTACCCTTGCTGCCGCACCATTACCCTCGCTGCTGCACCATTACCCTCGCTGCCGCACCATTACCCTCGCTGCCGCGCCATTTACCCTCGCTGCTGCACCATTACCCTCGCTGCCGCACCATTACCCTCGCTGCCGCGCCATCTACCCTTGCTGCTGCACCATTACCCTCGCTGCCGCACCATTACCCTCGCTGCCGCACCATTACCCTCGATGCTGCACCATTACCCTCGCTGCCGCGCCATTTACCCTCGCTGCTGCACCATTACCCTCGCTGCCGCACCATTTACCCTTGCTGCTGCACCATTACCCTCGCTGCCGCACCATTACCCTCGCTGCCGCACCATTACCCTCGCTGCTGCACCATTACCCTCGCTGCCGCACCATTACCCTCTCTGCCGCACCATTTACCCTCGCTGCTGCACCATTACCCTCGCTGCCGCACCATTACCCTCGCTGCCGCGCCATTTACTCTTGCTGCTGCACCATTACCCTCGCTGCCACACACCCTCGCTGCCGCACCATCACCCTCGCTGCTGCACCATTACCCTCGCTGCTGCACCATTACCCTCGCTGCCGCACCATTACCCTCGCTGCCGCGCCATTTACCCTCGCTGCTGCACCATTACCCTCGCTGCCGCGCCATTTACCCTTGCTGCTGCACCATTACGTTACCCTTGCTGCCGCACCATTACCCTCGCTGCTGCACCATTACCCTCGCTGCCGCACCATTACCCTCGCTGCCGCGCCATTTACCCTCGCTGCTGCACCATTACCCTCGCTGCCGCACCATTACCCTCGCTGCCGCGCCATCTACCCTTGCTGCTGCACCATTACCCTCGCTGCCGCACCATTACCCTCGCTGCCGCACCATTACCCTCGCTGCTGCACCATTACCCTCGCTGCCGCGCCATTTACCCTCGCTGCTGCACCATTACCCTCGCTGCCGCACCATTTACCCTTGCTGCTGCACCATTACCCTCGCTGCCGCACCATTACCCTCGCTGCCGGCCCATTGACCTTAACCCTAAATCCTTTCCTGCATCGCCTCGGCTGTACGAGTGGTGCCTTCCTTTCCTCCATGTGATGTGCCCTGCTCGCCCTACCCGTTCCTCCGTGTGCTTTTCTCCCACCGCTCTTTCCTGTGCTTCGCGTTTGCTGTGCACATGCGGGGCTGCGTGGCTGGCGGCAGTGCGAGTGCTGGTGGAGCTGAATGCCGCTCTGCATGGGTGGCCAGGGAACAGCCGCCTCTCCCGCCAGTGCAGCCAGTGGGCCGATGTCACGTGCAACCACAGGGGCCTCGTCACTGCCATGTATGCATCCACGTCACTGCCATGTATGCATCCTCGTCACTGCCATGTATGCCTCCTCGTCACTGCCATGTATGCCACCTTGTCACTGCCATGTATGCCACCTTGTCACTGCCTGCCATTTATGCCTCCTCGTCACTGCAGTGCCGTGCCATGCATGCTTCCTCCCCACGTATTTCTCTGTATTCTCCCCGCCTCGTCACTGCCATGCCATGTATGGCTTGTCCCCACCATCCCATTCCCCTCCCCCTCTACTCGCCCTCTACTCTCGTCCCCACCATCCCATTCCCCTCCCCCTCTACTCGCCCTCTACCCTCGTCTCCACCATCCCATTCCCCTCCCCCTCTACTCGCCCTCTACTCTCGTCCCCACCATCCCATTCCCCTCCCCCTCTACTCGCCCTCTACTCTCGTCCCCACCATCCCATTCCCCTCTCCCTCTACTCGCCCTCTACTCTCGTCCCCACCATCCCATTCCCCTCCCCCTCTACTCGACCTCTACTCTCGTCCCCACCATCCCATTCCCCTCCCCCTCTACTCGCCCTCTACTCTCGTCCCCACCATCCCATTGCTCCCCCCCCCCTAGGGTTCGCATTTGGAGCATGTGTGGATCCAATCCAAGCACCCACTGTTTTGCCCAATGTGCATTCGAACAGCCTTGCCGTCATTTCAATTCCGCTGTTTCTCTCACCTCACCTCACGCCCATCCTTCTTCCGTGCCCATGATTGTCCCCCTGCCTCCTGTTCATCCCCAAGGCAGAGACTTGTCAACCACCTCTGTGTTGGGCAGCCTTCCATCTTCTCTCATCCGCCTCTCTCACCTCACCTACCTGTCAGTACGCTGCCACACTCCGCACTGGCATTCCCAGCCGCACCCGCAGCACGTGTGGAGCTTTCTGCTATAGTAATTATCCACCATTGACACCACTGCTGCCATAGTTTTTTCAATGTTTTTTGGGATTTGCTTTCATCAATGCTGTCATCATCATTTTCGGCATGTTAATTGCCCGAGTGCAGCTATATTCTTGCATGGACTTGTTTTCCACTCGCCTCTCACTGCGTTCATCCACCCACACAATAATAGTTTCACAAAATGCAATGACTGCAATGTTTTTTTCAGGGATTTCCAGCAGGCAGTGCCCACACCCAGATGTAGCTGCCTCGCACACACCCTAGAATATCGAAATGACTGGTTTACCCTGTTTACTCGTCGCCCTCAACCACATGTCTCAAAGGATTAAGACGTAAAAGGTTGTTCAGTCAGCAAAAAGTGACACTCTCGCCAAAGAATCAGGGACAACCAATCGGTCTCCAAAATCCAGAATTCTCACTTCCTTTCTTCCTGTCATAGTCTCCCTATCCCCTCTCGCCCTACCCCAACACCCGCTCACTGATCCCTCCCTTCCTTTTCCCTCCCTCCTTGCACTTTATCCCTCGTTCTGTCTCTCACCCTGTCACTCCGTTACCCCACCCCCCCCTCTCACCCCTCCATCCCGTGTTCATTCGCTCAGCAACATCGGTTCACCAAGTATCACGGGGAGCGTGGAGGGCCTTTCATGGATCTCAAGCCTCACCAACCTACATGCACTGTACGCCCTGCATGCACTGTACGCCCTGCATGCATTGTACACCCTACATGCACTGTACGCCCTGCATGCACTGTACACCCTGCATGCACTGTACGCCCTACATGCACTGTACGCCCTACATGTACTGTACGCCCTGCATGCACTGTACGCCTTGCATGCACTGTACGCCCTACATGTACTGTACGCCCTGCATGCACTGTACGCCCTACATGCACTGCACGCCCTACATGCACTGTACGTACAGATGAGCAAAGGGCGAACACGAACATGTTCGTGTTCGCCCCTTCTCGAACACGCCCTTTTGCCGAACCGAACAGTGTTCGGTTCGGCGAACAGTTTAGCCAAAAACAGGTGTTCGCTGTTCGCCTGTGGAGGCGTGTTCGGGCGAACCTCGAACACGTTCGTGTTCGACACGGGGCGTTCTGCAGCAGCGCCACGAACACGAACGTGTTCGGGCGAACATCGAACACGTTCGGGCGAACGATTTAAGCTGAAAAACAAAAACTGTTCGGTTCGCCTCGAACACGTTCGAGGCGAACCGAACAGGTGTTAGCCACCTTGCTCAAGCCTAACTGTACGCCCTACATGCACTGTACGCCCTACATGCACTGTACGCCCTACATGCACTGTACGCCCTACATGCACTATACACCCTACATGCACTGTACGCCCTGCATGCACTGTACGCCCTGCATGCACTATACGCCCTAAATGTACTGTACGCCCTACATGCACTGTACGCCCTACATGCACTGTACGCCCTACATGCACTGTACGCCCTACATGCACTGTACGCCCTACATGCACTGTACGCCCTACATGCACTGTACGCCCTACATGCACTGTACGCCCTACATGCACTGTACGCCCTACATGCACTGTACGCCCTGCATGCACTGTACGCCCTCCACGCACTGTACGCCCTACACGCACTGTACGCCCTACATGCACTGTATGCCCTACATGCACTGTACGCTCTACATGCATTATACACCCTACATGCACTGTACGCCCTACATGCACTGTACGCCCTACATGCATTGTACGCCCTACATGCACTGTACACCCTACATGCACTGTACGCCCTACATGCACTGTACGCCCTACATGCACTGTACGCCCTACATGCACTGTACGCCCTACATGCACTGTACGCCCTACATGCACTGTACGCCCTACATGCACTGTACGCCCTACATGCACTGTACGCCCTACATGCACTGTACGCCCTGCATGCACTGTACGCCCTCCACGCACTGTACGCCCTACACGCACTGTACGCCCTGCATGCACTGTACACCCTGCATGCACTGTACTCCCTGCATGCACTGTACGCCCTGCATGCACTGTACGCCGTGCATGCACTGTACGCCCCACATGCACTGTACGCCCTACATGCACTGTACGCCCTACATGTACTGTACGCCCTACATGCACTGTACGCCCTACATGCACTGTACGCCCTACATGCACTGTACGCCCTACATGCACTGTACGCCCTACATGCACTGTACGCCCTACATGCACTGTACGCCCTACACGCACTATACGCCCTACATGCACTGTAAGCCCTACATGCACTGTACGCCCTACACGCACTGTACGCCCTACACGCACTGTACGCCCTACATGCACTGTACGCCCTACATGTACTGTACGCCCTACATGCACTGTACGCCCTACATGCACTGTACGCCCTACATGCACTGTACGCCCTACATGCACTATACACCCTACATGCACTGTACGCCCTGCATGCACTGTACGCCCTGCATTGTATGCACTTTTCCCCCTCGCCCATTCGCACACATGTGTACAAGTGCAAGAACGTGCAACAACCATGTCTAGTGTCGCATTTTTCCAGTAAACTTATTTCTCATCATTTAAAAGATTACTCCTTGCATGACCACGCTACCCCACTCACGGATTGTGTTGGGAGAGTCTTGCGCAACGCAACTATGCGACTCCGCACGCCCGTATGACCTTGTGAACCAATTTTCAATTTTGCACGTACCCATGAGCACTGATCAAATCCTAACCTGTTCCTAAAGGTTTCAAAGTGGCCAAGTGGTTGAACCGAACCCGATTCGGCACGGTGCGGAACGGTTCGAGCCACTCCAGACCCGGTTTGACATGGCTCGGGGCTCTGGTGTCGAAACGGTTCGTGCCCAGCTTAGGCTGGTTCAAGGCAAACCATAACGCGGTTTGGATCTTTGCTCATGTTTAGTGCACGGAGTAACCACATAACAAACCTTAAACGCTCACTGAAGTGTGTCCTACTTGCATGGCTCCCCATGTTGCCCTCTTTGTGTCATGTCACACACATTACCTCTCATGCTGCCCACCGTGTCCTCCTACCCGCGGCACCACACCAGCGTGATGGCGGGCATGGACAGCATGAAGGGGGACCTACCGGGTGCTGTCATCAGAATGAAATCTTTTGTTGCTCGTTGCCCTGTGTTTCCCTCCCCTCCATGGGCTTCAACCCCTGGCACCGCACCAGCGTGATGGCGGGTATGGACAGCATGAAGGGGGATCTATCGGCCCTCACGTTTCTCACTTCTCTTAAAGCCATGCAAAGCCTGTAACGTGGTTAAGAAGGGTACTGTGGGCTGCCCGCTCCTGCGGTTTCATATGTTTCATATATTCGCCCTTGCCGCAATTTGATTAGAGTGTGTATGTATGCTTTGCAGCTGAACATATATTTGCGTGTCTTGGAGAAGCATTATACAAAGGGAATGGAATGGACGACGTGTTAATATCTTAACGATTGCAAACCATTGGTTTTGCATGTAGTACAATAGTGTGTAGTATCATGTCAGAACTAGCGCCATCTAGCCTTGTCATGTTGGCTCACTCGTTGCTTTCACTGTAATCATGCATCTCACTCACACTCAACTGGCTCTAATTCAATGGCCTCCCTCATGTCTGTCATGCATGCAGCACCATCTCAAACGTGCCATGGACAGGGGAACTTCCAGCATTGCTTGCCACGCTCACCTCCCTCACTTCCTTGTAGGCTCTCAGATTGAGTCACGCTTTAATCTCCCCCTCATTATATTTCCCTTCAGTCGAACCTTTGGTATATCGCTGCCTCACTGCAATGTCCCTTTGTATCTCCTCGCACGTGCTAGTGTAGAAATCGTGATGCTCTGCTGCTCCTGCGTGTAACATGAACCGCTGTTCAGTTCCACTCAATCCCTGTTCGTATTGGAATCAAGGGTTGTATTTTTCAGCCCGAAAATGTTCGAATCGAACATGTAATCTTCCGGGTCGAATAGACATGAGCAAAACACTAAAACGCTGTTCGCTTTGGGTAGTTACCAAAGCGAACCATTTTTTGTGACCTGGTAGAATACATTCGGTGCGCTCGATTGAATTAGTCGGTGCTCGTCAAATACAAACATGTTTGAGTGTTTGAAATGTGGAGGGGCTGTGGATGGTGGGGGAGGGGCTCTAGGGGGTCGGGTGGATGGCCTGTGCAAACTGACAGTGTTCGGTTCGAGTTGAACACTTTCCTGCTTGGTTCACATACTCCACTGTTTATTCGAGTCGAACAGTCGACCACCAGAATTTGCAAAAGCGTTCGATTGAAAACAAACATATTCTGTTTGAGCCGGCAAGTTGTTTAAAAATGTTTTACCCAAACATGGTTGGTGAGAAATCGCCGATCCGCACGGACCGGTGTATGCCGATCCCCGCAGATCCAAACATGTTTGACCACCTATCCGGACGGACCGGTGATTTTCGTGGCCAATTCCCGCAGATCTACGCATCTCGACCGTCAGTGTGTGCGGGATTGGCCATTTCGGTGGATGATCCATGCAGATCGAAAAAAAAATCGGCCAACTTGGCAGGCCATTCGCGCGGCTGATCTTGTTAGAATTCCTATGTTCTAGCATGCTAACACTTGTGACTGTACACCAATTGTGGTGTACAGTTGGGTTGGGACTACACCCAACTTTGGGTGTAATCTTGCATTTTGGGGTGCCAATCCAACCCAATTGTGGTGGAGCCCCCAAATGCAACCCTATGGGCCATAGGGTACCCCACTTTACAAAGTGAGGCCAACCCAACCCACTGGGCCATAGGTTGCCCCACTTCCCAAGTGTGGTCAACCCAACCCAATGGGCCATAGGTTGGCCCACTTCCCCAAGTGTGGTCAACCCAACCCAATGGGCCGTAGTTTGGCCCACTCCCCCAATCCCACCTCCCTCCTTTCCCTTCCAACCTTCTCTTCCCAAACCTATGTATGCTTCTTCACTTCCTAATCAAGCTAATGTTTCAGTTTACAACTTTCACAGATCTGACGTGCCGCGACGGCGACGGGTCGCTCTATATAAGACAAAGCAATCTGTCCGGGTCTCGGATCGACCCGAGCCGACCGGGACAGGCCGACCTGAAACCTAAGTGGGTATATACGCTTTTGCCTTTAAGCGTATAGCGTTTATCCGCTTGCGTATACACGCAAAACGCTATACGCTAACGAATACGCAATACGCTCGGGGTTTTTTGTTGGGGCAGCCCAAAATCGATTTTTTTTTAGTATATCTGAAAAGTTTCGTCTTCTCACGACGAAGAAGATGCCGTGCTCGAAATGCACGCTCGAGATCTACCCTGGCCTGGACTTTGCTTCAATGTGTGTAGGTGAGTTGGTTTCCGTGCTTTCAAATCGCGGTGACGCGACTGTGAGTTGGGTTACGTGGCTCCAATGTTTGGAGTCGCGATGTCCTTTACATTTCACATTGGAGTTCCACCAATTTGTACCGCTCTCGATCTACAAACTCCCTCCAATCCAACTTCTCTCCACCAATCCATCCCACGCTACTTAACAAGCAGGTATTGTTTTATCTCGTCAATTCATCCTCCTGTTTACTTCAGAGATTTTTAGCATGGCTTCTGCAGTTGTTAACCCGGCCCAGTCCACTCCCCCTCCTGATACCGGCACGGCCAGTCCTGATCGTGCGGCGCGAGTTTACCTTCCGGATGTCGACCACGATGTGTTCAAGCATTTCCGCCTCATAAAGGTGGACGAGGGGAAATCGCAGCAGTACGAGTGCAGGTACTGCTGCAATGTTTTTTCTGGTGCCGCCATCCGCTGCGCGCAGCACTTGGCGAGTTAGAGGAAGATGAAGCGCCGCGAAGTGGCGCTATGCAAGGAAGCCCCCACTGAAGCGCGGGTTGCCATGCGGAAGAAGTACGAGGCCAAGGCTGCAGTGGCGGCTCAGCGCCGCCAGGCGACATCGGATGCCATCGCGTCGGTCACCAGCAGCGGCAAGAGGAGCCGCATTACTGACTAACTTGGAGACGGGTGCGGAAGCTGGGAAGCGCGATGCACATGAGGCGTTGGCGCTCATGTTCGCGGGGTGTCGCATCCCGGAGCGCGTCGCGGAGCACCCTCTCTTCATCAACGCCGTTCGTGCCATTAGAGACGCCGGCACAGGATACGTCCCACCAAACAGGCGGTTCATCGGCGGGGCGGGCTTGCGAATGTGCTGCGACAACATCGACAGGGGGCTTTCTGGAGTGAAGGCGAGCTGGAAGCGGACCGGCGTGACAGTTGCTTCTGATATGATGACCGATAAGAACGGTCGCCCCCAGGCGAACGTGTTTCTCGTCAACGACAGTGGCGCGGTGTTCAAGGACAGCGTGGACTGCCGCATGGAGACCAAAACTGGCGGTTATGTCGCCAGCATCCTCAGGCCCGTGGTGGAGGAGGTCGGTCCGGAGAACGTGGTGGCGTTCTGCACGGACGGTGGGTCCAACTACGCGGTGGCGTGCAACCAGTTGATCGCGGAATGGCCGCACATTCAACACGTGCCTTGCGCCACCCACGTGTTGGACCTCTTCATGGAGGACGTCGGCAAGATGCCGTGGGCCAAGAACGTGGTGGACCCTGCGGGCGATATCAGCTCCTTCGTCCGCAACCACCACTGGACGAGGGGATACTTGCGGAACCCGGAAATGGTGGGTGCAAGGATGCTGCAGGCGCTGAAACCGGCTGGAACAAGATTCGGGACACAATACATTGTTGTGTCCCGTCTCTGTGAGCTGCGGCAGTCGCTTGCACAGATGGTTGTGTCTGATGTGTGGAAGGGCTGGGCAGTTGGGGAGAGGAAGAAGCCCGCGGGGAAGTTTGCAGCGCAAGTTCTTGATGACGCGTGGTGGAAAACGTCGGAGTTTTTCTGCAAGCTGATGAAGCTCCCGTTCTTCGCAATGCGTAAGACCGATGCGGATGCCAAGGGGATGATGGGCCGTATGTATGACACAATGTTGCAGTTGACCGAGGATGTGGGGACAGTGGTGGAGGAGGACGAGGAGCAGCTCTCCTACTCCGACAAAGTGCACATCCGCCGCCTGCTGAAGAACAGGTGGGATGGCAGCCTCGCCTGCCCCATGCACGTTGCGGGCCGGATTCTCAACCCGGCGAACCAGGATGAAGACATCTTCGGCTCAGACGCGGAGTGCACAAAGGTATTCAAAGCGTTCATCACTCAGCACGCCGAGCACTTCTGCAATCACGGTAAGGAGGGGGATGATGGGGATGACTTTGGCGAGGTTTTGCTGGAACTGCAGGAGGGGGTGAGGGCATTTCTGGATATGAAGGGAAGGTTCGGGATGGGGGATGCAATTTCTCAGAGGAACTTGGTCAAGGAGGGCAAGTATGACATGGTAAAGTGGTGGCAGTGGCACGGCACTGACGCACCAAAGCTGGCGGCCCTCGCCATCAGGACTCTCTCTCAGGCCGTGTCGGCTTCACCATGTGAGAGGGGATGGTCAACGTGGGATGGGGTGCACACGGCCCGCCGGAACCGGCTTGGCTCTGCCAAGTGCCGGGATTTGGTTTTTGTTGCGCACAACTGGAACGTTGTGCGCAACTGGCATTCCCGTGCAGATGTCATGCCGGGTGTGGTGCTCGGGAACATGCCGGAGCCTCCCGTGCCCGAGGGCTACAATGTGGTGGAGGGGGACGAGGAGGAGGAGGAGGGGGACGACGCCATTCTGGAGGATGAGTATGAGTAGGTGGCGTAATTGATCTGGAGTAGCGTGAGTTGTAGTATGTGTGCTAGTAGTATGAGATGAGTATGTGTCATTGTAATGTTGTTGGTGAATAATTTTGGGTCGGGAAAAAAATCCGGGAAATCCAACCCCTGTGGAAACTGACCGCATAAGTATATCAGGGGGGTCTTACTTTAGCTGCCCTAAATTTTTTTAAACCTGCCCGAATAGCGTATCTAGGGTTTCGGGACCTATGCGTATAGCGTATATACGATAGCGTATATACGATACGCGTATATACGCTATACGCGTATATACCCACTTAGCCTGAAACGCCCGTGTTTGTTTGATTCGCATCGAATCAAGCTGACGTTCTGCGCTATGCTCGTGTCTGTGTGCAGATGTAATTGTGCACGCAACGTGTTCATATGCATATGCCACAACTTCCCGGTTTCTGATATACATATGTTACGTATATACATGTAAATATAGATATACACATACATACATATGTAATAGTATGCACATACAATAACATATTTTTTGCATGGAATAAAGCTGTATTAATAATTGGTGAGGTCACTATTCATTAGACTCTGCACGTGTGCATGTCCTGGCGACCCATGTGCATCTCAGACCGAACCATATCCCTGTGCCTCTCCAACCATCACATACCTCAGGGACTTGAGCTACCTGGAAGAAACTTCTGAATTTCCCCGATGGGTGGTGGAATTGACAGCTCTGCGATACTTGTGAGTTTAAGGAGACACGTGGTGGTAGTAAGTAAGTGTACCCCACGAGGCAAAAGCAAGACATTGGGCGGCAATATGTTTGATATGATGGTACAGTGCTCGGCATGTCTTTTGCAAGTCGCATTCTCTCCTGTTTGGGCTTTCAGGTACCCTCCTCCTTCCGTCTGGGCCCCTCGCCTCTGCTACCTCGGCCTGATCCCATGAGAGAGCAAGGGTTTGGTGAGCGCCTAAACCCTTTGAGAACATGAGAGGGGATGACAATAGAGGAAAGAAGATGGGAGCAGACGAGAGCAGATGGGAGGAAACGATGTGAGAATAGCTTAGATGAGAAGAGCTGAAAGGAGATAAGGTGGGAGAAAATTTGCAAGCACAAGGACCCCTCTTCTTCTTGGACCTCTCCTCTCCACTACACACACTCTTCTTAGAATCTCCTCCTCACCAACTTTCGCCAATTCCTTTTTTTGCTTGGACAAGGAGAGAAACACCCAATCCAAGTGCCATGGACAGACTGCCATCCCCTCCATGCACCCGACAAGGTGAACACAAGTTTCGTGTGTCTCGATTGAGTAAAGCGATACGGGTCGCGTTTTACTCAACTAGTAATAGATTGCTCATATATCTCCTTCCCCTCCCTGCACCTTGCCCACCAATACAGAGGGTGGTGCTGGTGAGAACTTGGTGTAGAATCCATGCATTAGGTATTACGATTAAGACTCTTAAGGCCATCAGGAATTGGCAAAAGAGGAAGGGTAGAAAACAAGAGCAATTTTCAATGAGCAACACCACCGAGGCTCTTTGTGAATAGATCAGGAAGGCTGTAGACAGATGCGATGTACCTCACATTCAGCTGATCACGCTGAACAAGGTCACGAATGCAAAATTGCGAAGTTTGAAGTGTACGGTGCCTTGGAGGAGAAGTGGATGGCACTCTGGTTGTCGCCCCACAAGGTGGGTCTAGACCAAGGAATTAAAGGCTAACTTTAACCATGCTATCCAAGCCCAACTGCCTCAAATCTTGTTAAAATCACCAATCTGCGCGGATGGCCGATCCGCCAGACACTAACTTAAATTGGCGGGTCAGAAGACCTCATTTGCCATCGGGTCGACTGTTAAAGTCATAGCTAAGCTAGAGTATGTTGGGAACATCCTTAGAAGCCATAGCTTTAGGGTTGAGAGGACTAGGCATGAATGTCGAGAGAGTTTGAGCAAAAGTGTGAGTTTCACTATTGAGCAAGGTACAAATAGGGAACAAGGGAGGTGCACCACCTACAGGAAATACCTCAAACAATACAGTAACTACAGCAAACAGTTTATATAATAAACATAAGTTTAACATCGACCCGTTGCTTGTTGTGCTTACCTTCATCCTCACGTGCTCCATCCTCCAACCCCCCATGTGCTCTATCCCTCCACCACCATGTGCTCCTCTTCATCCCTCTGCCAGCGACAATTCTCGCAACAACATTGCTGCTACCTACCGCTCTGACGTGTTGCCTCAGGAGCTCCACCGTCTCTCACACCTGCAGCACTTGTGAGTTCCCCACTCCGAATCTCCGCTCCCGTATCCAAGGATGTCTCATCCTTGTGTGGTTGTTGCAAAGAATACATCTCAAGAATTCCTGTTCTTTTCTTGTGGTGACTATTCTATTTGCCGGTTGTACAGTTGTACCTATGATATGGTTATCGCAGCGCAAACACTTTCGAGTTTCCGCCCTTTTTTGTTTCCTGACCTGGCGGGCTTGCGATTCGCCAATGTTTTCAAATGTTGGTGTGAACTTATTTCTATTGACCTGATCCAAGAAGCTCTTCACGCCATTTAACGACGGCTCGTATAGTGATTCCTTTCTGAAATGTGCAACAGGTAACTTGGTGCTCGATTAGCGAGCTGAGTTTGTCCAATCGAACGAGCCATATTCCGGAATCGAGTTTCTGACAATGTGCTGCCTGCATGTGCTTTTTTTCTAGCCGTGAACACCCCATGGTGTCAACAGCACCACCCTTGATTCATGAGCATTGCCTCACTCGAGTGTTATTCCAAGTTTGCGCTCGATGCTGAGCTCGTTGCACGAGCACGCAACAATCAGATTGGTCACGAACTGGTGGCGCAGTCAGAGATGAGCTTGAGCCATGAGCAAGCACCACTCTTAATATGCTATCAACCGTCACTCACTGGCATGGTATGGCAGTGATGCAACAGGCAACAATCTAGTTGGTGCTCTTCCTGAGTATTGGACCTCGCTCAACCACCTGACCTACTTGTGAGTGGTGTCTTCGTGCCGTGGGTGCACAGCCACAACTAGGCTTGAGCAAGGTGGCGAACACCTGTTCGGTTCGCCTCAAACACATTCGAGGCGAACCGAACAGGTTTTGTTTTTGGCCTAAACTGTTCGTGGCGAACATGTTCGGTGTTCGTTCGTCGTGGATGCCCAAGCCGCGTTGAACACGAACACGTTCGTGCTCGTTTCGGGACAAAAACGAGCACGAATGTGTTCGTCGCGAATGCCCCGCTACCCAAGTGTTTAGGTCGACGCGAAATGCAGATCGAGCCTACAGTAGCAGCAGCCGAGTCGTATACGTGTTCCTAGTTCGCATCTTCCTGGTTTAGGTTAGTCAGACGAAGTCGCCAGCGTGGCATTTCGCCGTCAGATCCGTGCGGATCTGCCATTCCGCCGTCAGATCTGCGCGGATCTGCCATTTCGCCGTCAGATCTGCGCGGATCTGCCATTTCGCCGTCAGATCTGCGCGGATCTGCCATTTCGGTTCACCGAACGACGGTGTTCTTGCAGGGGCGAACGCAAACACGTTCGTGTTCGCCTCTTGCTCAACCCTAGCCACAACCACAAAAATAAATTCCTGCTGACCTCATTGAATCTTTTGTCTTCTCTTCTTTTGTTAGTTGCTGCTTTATATTTCCATTGTGCTTTTCTCAACCAAACTCTACTACAGAGAATGATAATTGCATTCATCCTGCACAACACACATGCATGAATGTGCACCGTTGCTACGCACCTTGTTTCGCGCTTGACTGCTGCCCAAGGTTCGTGTATGCGTTGATTATTGACATTGTTAATCTAATCTCTCGACTTTCGTAATTGCGCTTTCTATATCCTAGTTTAAGGATGAGCACCTGGGCGAATCCAGTTCGGCCCAATCGGGCCGGTTTGTTCCCGCTGTGGACCAGACTGGGTTCGGCCCTGAAAACTGGAATGGCTGATGAGGGAAAACCGATCCAGGCCAGTCCAGTTCGCCTCAAGTAGTGACACGTGCCATTTCCAGCCGGGTTGAGTCCCTCTTGACATTTTAGCGAGGGTACCGTTGACCAACTGCTGGATCTCATTTTCATTTTCGGGCCCCAGCTGTCAGTTTTCTCTCCAATGTATACCTATCTCGCACCCTATGTGAACTCGATGTTAGCTAACATAATATTTATTAACACAACTCCAAATCGCAACCTCCAAGTCTAAATCTTAGAGTATTAGTTGATTAGCGTTTTATGGTTACTTTGAATGGGGTCCCTGCCAGGAATGCGATCTTAGCTGGGTTTGTGAACAGTTTTTCTCACTTAACATGCAATTTTTTTGTGTATTGACTCTTGTTCCTGTTGTTAACACGCAGATCGTTTGATTGGAACGAGATTCGGGGTTCCATTCCGTCATCTTTCTCTGCCCTCACTGCGCTGTGCACTCTGTAAATAGATCCTAATGAAACTTACATCACACATTCACATGACGGACATGGCCAAGTTTTTCATCTGTTGTTTTTGGGGACGCACATTTCCACAAGTACTGGTTCGTCAGCACCCTTTTCCATAGCACGCACTTCAGGACCTTTCAAAGAGAATATCGATGATTTTGCAGATTATTTTGTGCCGGTGTATGCACAACAACACTTCAAGAATTGGTTTAAGAATAAATCACTTCACACATCTGTGTCCTCCTTATAGTCAACCATGGCTCTTAGTGAATCCATGGTCCACCAGCTGTGTGTCTTTTGGTTGTGATTTGTCCGCGCATGCCTCAGGTCCTTGTCGAGCAACAGCATGGATGGCACGATCCCTCCCGTCCTCTCCACTACTCTCACCAGCCTGTGCGTGCCGCCTCCCCTTGCCTCTCAATGCTCTTTCTCGTCCCACACGATGGAGGTGGTGTGTAGATATGAGCACGAACCGAACTCAAACATGTTTGAGCAAACCTTTTCGAACCTTGCATGTTGGTCGAACCGAACCGAACAGGTTTGCTCGAACTTTTTTCAGAATTTTAAGGTTTGAGGTTTGAGTATACAATGGCAAACCCTAAAGGTTTGCTCAAACCTTTGAAGGTTTGAGCGAACTCGAACCTTTTAAGGTTTGAGGGTTAAAATGATGCACAAGTTACACTACAACACATGCATGTCTAATGGTTTATGGACAGCATCATGTTCTGAAAAAAGAAGCAAAAGAGGAGGTAAAAAACAGTCACGACACTCCAATCAAGGAAAGTATACGGAAACTTCAAACATGAGATGACACCACCCATCCACACGACCCCACCCTAGTCCTGGCCCTCTCCCACACCCGCTGCATATGTCGCCTCCCCCTCCCCCTCCTCCTCCCCCTCCTCCTCCTCCTCCTCCTCCTCGCATTCCTCCTCTCCCTCGAGCCCCAAGTCCACTGCTGCTGCAGCACGGGCAGAATCTGCCCCATCGCCGATACGACCACCAGGGTGCGTGTCGTACCAAGACCGCAGAGTCATGCACGACCGCACACGCTCGGTGTTCAGGCGTGTGCGCTGGAAGGTGATCAAGTTCCTGCTCTGTGAGAATGCTCGCTCGCACGATGCCGAGGTGGCGGGAATCGCCAAGTAATCCCTGGCCATGGCTCGCAGTGTGTCAAGGTTCTTCACTGTGCGCCAGAACTCGAGGGGGGATAGGTCGCCAGTCTCATCGTGCCCCACATATCTGTCCACCTCGTCCCCCAACTGCCTAGACCCTCCTGCAGCACGTGAAGCAGATACGCGCGCAATCAAGCGGCGCCTACTGCCAATAGCCTCATCCCCCTCAATGTTGGCAGCAGGTGCTGGCGCTGCTGCAGCAGGTGGAGACACCGGCGCTCTCGCAGCTGCCTGCGCCTGGTAATCCGTCACACGTGTGCGCACCAGCTCCAGGATCCGCTCCACCGTCACTGGGCCCGTTTCCCGCCTCTCCCTCCCTCCCTGAACCAACTCTGGGTGCCTAGTCTCAAACGTGCCCAGAGCGAAGTACCCCTCCCTCATCGCTGGATCAAGGAACGTGGCGATGAGCAGGTCGTCGCTGCTGGCGTACACGTACTTCTTCAAGTGCCCCAGCGCGGCAACGGTCATCGTCCTCATCAGCGGGGACGGGTTGCCATGGAGCTTCTCCTCCAAACTGTCAAGAAGATCGTTGTAGCTTGGAATGACCATGGAGATGGTCGGGTAGAGCGACCCCTCCGCCGACTTAGTGACGGCGTTGAAGGGTGCAAGAAATACCTTCAACGCCTCAAGCGCCTCCCAGTGCTGATCTTTGAGGCGGAGCTTTTTAAAGCGCTTCCGCTCTTTAGGCGTCGTGCCCTGGGGTCGGGGTTTAGGGAGGAGGCATTGGGGTAGAGACCATCGATTCGGGTGTCACTTTAAATCATAATCAATACAAGCAGGCAGCACGTACACTGTGGAGCAATGGCCATGCATGTGGTAGGATACTATCACCGTCGTACCTGGTCGTCGTAGAAGTGGACGTGGATCGCCCTGCGCAGCTCGAGGAAGCGGACCGCCATCTCACACGTCGACCCCCATCGAGTAGGGCTGTCCTGGACCAGCTTCAAGGGCGCTCTACCCGGGTACGCCCGCACCTGCTCCGCCTGGAAGTTCCCCGTGCGGATGGGGGAGTAACCAACAAAGATGGCAACGTCGCGCACCAGACGGAGGGTCTTGCGCACAAGGGGGACCTTCAGTGCTGTCTGGGCCGCCAAGTTCAGCACGTGCGCGGTGCACCTGAGGTAGGGCGAGAGGATGGGTGGGGAGGACGGTTCACAACCAACCATACATGCCGGCAGTGGTGTAACCCCAACATAAACCATCACGACTTCATGGCACACGAATCGAAGGCGTATCAAAGCGACGTACCTGACGTGCATGCCTGGGCGGAAAATGGCAGGGCGAGAACTACCACCCGAGAGGAGGTGGAAGGCGCGGGTGTTGCTGGACGCGTTGTCGCACACAAATGCGACACAACGGTCCACCAAGTCCCAATCACGCACCACCTCCAGCACCAAGTCCGCAATCTCCTCTCCCCCGTGTCGCCCTGTCATCTCACGGAAATCCAGCGTCACCTCCCGCAGCTTCCAATCTCGTGTCACAAAGTGGCCCTTTACCACCGAGTAGGCCTTCCCGTTCCCCCCGGTCCAGATATCACTGGAGATTGCAACCCCCGTGGTGCGCTCCCCGGGCTGTGGTGCCAAATCAGCCATCGCCTCCAGTCTTGCGCGCTCAGCAAACACAACTACGTCTCGCGCAACCGTCCACCTTGATGGAAGGACTCGAACGTTCGCGACGTTCGGGTTCAGCAGCACCATCAACTCGCGGAACTGCGCGGGACAATCAAGAGGAAAGACAGGATTCGTGGTCAAGTGTCACGGCGCACTTATGGACATGTCATACATGAAGAGTGCAAGACATCGAGGCATACTAAACCCTTACAGTGTCACCAACAAACTCACCGCCTCCAACTCCACGAAGCGGAAAGGCACGTTGCCTGTCACCACCATCTTGGTGACCGCCTCTCGCAAGGAGCGCACGCTAAACCGGTGGCCCACAAACCGCTCCATACCCCCCCTTCCGCGAACGCCGCCCTGACGTCCCGCACCAGGGAAGTTTGGCCACTGCGTGCAATACGGCCAATCAATCCCCCCATTTGGCACGCCCTCATACCCCTTCTCTGGAAAGGTCTCACCCTCACCCACAAGCTGGTTGTTGAACCTGTGCTCCCAGATACCCAAATGTGCACGGTGCTTGTTCCAATAGTGTCGCTTGCCGGATGTGGTCGTGCTGTTCTGCCATGAAATCGTAGTTGGGCACATCTTGCACTTGCGCCGTCCCTCTGTCTTCGGGCCAAACATGTGGACAGTCAAGCCGAGATCCGAATCAGAGGCCGGAGCACGTTGCCGTCGCCGAGGCCTAGCCCCGTCCACCGATTCTGCAGGCGGGGAACCGCGGGAGGTGCGACAACGCGCCGTCGCACCTCCACCTCTCCTCCCCCTCCCGCGACCCCTCTTCTCCACACGCCCACTCCGAACACCACCAGCCTGCCCCCTTCCTGCTCCACTAGCCGCCCCTTGCTGGCGGCGACCCCCCCCACGCGTACGCCTCCCCTCATTTTCGCCAACGCCCTCCTCCTCCTCGTCGCCCTCTTCCTCGTCCTCCTCCCCACCGTCCTCCGCCTCCAAATAATCCATTTCATGGTCCTCGTCATCGGCCGCATCACCCCCCTCATCGGTAGGAGTGTATGCGCGCTCACTTCCTTCGCCACTGCCTGATTCATCCTGCTCATCCCCACGCTCCCCTACCCGACCGTACTCCACGTGCTCCTCCTCCTCCTCCTCCTCCCCCTCCCCCTCCCCGTCCCCCTCCTCCTCCTCCTCCTCATCCTCCTCCGCATCACCCTCGTCATCCCCTACCGCAGCCCCCTCCACACGGGAATTAGAGCGCACTCCCCGCAGCTCCGTTCCCACCCTGAAGGTGCGAACCGACCCAGGGAGTCCCAATGAATCTTCCCCAAACCTGGCCAGTGGACCAGGCGTGTGAGAATCGTGCCGCCCACGGTCGGTCACCCCCTCTTGGTGCTCCCTGACAGCGCCGTTGCGGGGCTGGCCATAACTCGACATGGTAGCTGTTCCAACCCTCCTTTAAAAACGGTATGCTGGGCCCTTAACTTAAAAAACGGAATGACTGCACTCTGTGGTAAAAAATTAAAAAACAGTAAGCTAACCCTATTCTCTGGAAAATAAATAGGCGTCACTAATCTGTCAAACATAACGAGTTAACGTTTGACACATCTAGTATGGTAGTGGGGAACCATGGGTGAGCAAGAGTTTATCTAGATCTAGAGGAGATCTACTCTGCTCTCCTACGAGTCTAGGGTTGGAAGCCTTCAAATGGCAGCCAACCTACGACTTTCCCGTTTTTGACGGGAATCAAATTCCCGTTCTTTTCTGGCGGGAATCAAATTCGAACCCCTCACGGTTCGAATTTCACCCTTTCGAACTTCGAACCTGTTCGGTTCGAGGTTTGAATCTCGAACCAAAAAAGTTCGCGCGAACTGTTCGCGCGAACTTCAGCAAGGTTTGCGCAAACCTTTTTGGCAGGAAAAAAAGTTCGGTTCGACATAAGTCGAACCGAACATCTCGAACCGAACCTAAGTTCGGTTCGTTGCTCATATCTAGTGGTGTGTGCAATCTCACCGCCGCACAGTTAGAGAGCCACACGATTACAGAACTCGAGCCTCACAACCACCCAGCCTGCAAGCCACAGCCACAAGCCACACCAGTTGCCTCTTGGTAGTTGTTATGCTGGCAGGTCTTTCCATCACTCCAACGCCCTCCTCCTCCCCTTTCAGCTTAACCAACTCCCTTGTCTCGCCTTGCAGTGATCTGCAGGGAAATCAATTCTCTGGTCGCATTCCGCATTTCCTTGGCTACCTCTCCGGTCTGCAAAGCCTGTGCGTGCACAAGACAAGGCGCAAATGGTTGTGTTGCAAGCTTCAACATTTCTCATTGACGCTGTTGTTTCTGGCTTTAAATGTAATTTCTTGGTGACCTTGTGACACCTGCATGCATCCCATCAAGTTTTCTTCTCGTATTTCTCATGTAATTATTCCTTCCTCCTGGTATCATGATTTCAGGAAACTCGCTGGCAACAACTTCTCTGGGGCCATTCCACAGTCTTTCACAAACCTCGTAAATGTTTCTTCTCTGTGCGTATCAAGTTCTCTATCATCTCGAGTAGTGGATTCGCAAGGATGCAGTGGTCCAGCATGTGAGCCTTTTTTCTCTCTTCAAAACATAGTGGGCCTTTTGAGCATGCTAGTACAGGATATGGCACACATTGGTGCAAGCTTCTTCAATATTTTGTAATGGTGGATGGAATACGGCGTGGAGGGAAAGGCAGGCTCACTGGACCGGTGAGTGGCAGGATTGTGTTGAGGAGAGCCATGGGATGTGAGGACGGAACCTAGCGAGGGAGCGAGGGTTGACGGCAAAGGACCGCACCATTTTGGTTGGAGTCAGATGGTTCTGGTTTAAGGGTGCAACAACAACTTCCCATTGCATCCCATTTTTTCCTGATCTTCTTTAGTCCATACACTAAATGTTATGCTCAACTCATGTTGCGTTTCAGGGACCTTGGCGGCAACCAGCTGTCGTCGGGCCTTGATGTGATCAGCGAGATGACCTGGCTTACGATGGTGTAATGCATCCCATGGGATCCTGCCTTGGGGTGTCATGCGTTCGTTCTTGTTGTGGGTTCAGCCAGTATGGTTTGCCTCACTTGCTATGTTGCACAGATGACTTTAAAACTTTGATTCTCCCTATTTTTGTTGCAGATTTCTAAGCTCAAACCAATTTGCAGATGCATTTCCAGGCCACCTGTCCTGGCCTTCAGTCAGTGTGTTGTAAGTTGACCCTCCATTACATCCACCCATTCACATATTGAATTCAAACCTGATCATTGCTTTGAGCCTTCTTCTGCTCTCCATAGTGTAGAAAAGAAAAAAAAGAAAAAAAAATCAAGGAATTGAAGTTTAACAAAATAAGTGAAAGCCTAGACAATAAGTGAAATATTGGGCCGGTTGGTTTGGTTGTTTGGGTTGGGTTCTTGGCCAGGATTAATGGCTCCACAGAAAAAACTTGGACAAATGCAAATAATTGATTGAGAACCCACGTTTCGGTGAGCTCAAAATATACTAAATTAACCAGGAATACTAATCTCGGCAAAGGTACCAGGATGGCTAACACTCTCATCAGCTGCTGAACCCAGCCCGTTCTATTCCTAAGTGGACATTAGGCATGAGCAAAGGGCGAACTCGAACATGTTCGAGTTCGCCCACCCTCGAACATGTACTTTTGCCGAACCGAACACTGTTCGGTTCGGCGAACTATTTAGCTGATAATATATGTTCGCCGTTCGCCCTAGGTGGCGAACGATTTTTTTCAGCAGGCGAACACGAACATGTTCGAGACGAACATGTTCGTGTTCGCCCAGGGGAAAATTCACTATAGTCACACATGTCAGAAAACAGTTTTCAAGGTCAAGGATGATAGCAAAATGTGTGCAAGGTGTATATGTGTGCATGCAACGAACCCAATAATACAACATAACATACTGTGAAGGGAAATGTCAAAGTCTAACAAATTCCTACACTAAGGCGCCACTGCTACTACCAACAACACCATCCTCTGCTGCAGCTGTGTCGTCAGCCTCCACACCCTCCTCCTCCTCCTCCTCGTCATCCTCCTCTGCCCCCTCGCCCTCAATGGCGAACTCTGGTGGTGCGACGCCTCTCGGTCGGCGGCCCTCGCCAATCCTCTGGCCAGGGTGTGAACTGTACCATGATCTGAGAATCATGACAGCTCGCGTCCTCTGAGAGGCCAGGCGGTGCCGCTTCCAGGAAATGAGGTTGCGACCAAGGGAGAACACCCGCTCACTCGAAGCGGACGTGGCAGGGATGGCGAGATAATCCCGGGCCATGCGCCTCAGCGTCTGCATGTTGGTGGCACTGCGCCAGTACTCTAGCGCTGTCACGTCGCACCGCACCCTCTCGGACAAGTACCTGCTAACCTCGTCATCCTGCACCATCCCACCCGCCCCCGCCTCCTGGCTCGCCGACAGACGCGCCGCAAGTCGTCGGCGACTAGGAAGAAACTGCGCGTCATCGTCGTCCTCCTCCTCGTCTCCGTCCTCCTCCTCCGCAACGGGGGCAAGTGGGGTCGGCCGTGGAGCAAGCTCTGCAGCCCGGGCCTGGTACTCGGCCACGCGGTCGCGCACCAGCTTGATCACCTCGCCCGACGCCGGACGCGGCCTCACCCTCCTGTCGGTCTCGGGATGCAGCTTCTCCCAGTGCGCGTCGTCGAACCACGCCGCCTTCATGGATGGGTCCAAGAAGGTGGCGATTCAGTACTCGTTGCTGGTGATGTACGCGTACTTCTTCAAGTGGCTCAGCGCCGCCACGATCATCGGCTGCAGCGTCGGAGATGGCCCCTTGGCAAGGCGCGACTCCATGGCGTCGATCAGGCCGTTGTAGTACGGCACCACCATCGACACAGTCGGGTACGCCGCCCCCTCTGCTGCCTTGGATACCTTGGCGAAAGGGCTTAGGAATGTCTTCACCGCCTGCAGGGTCTCCCAGTCTGCGTCTGTCATGTGCAGACTCTCCACCTTCTTCTTGTCGGTCTTCGACAGGCCCTGTCGGGTAGAGGGAATGGTTTGGGGGGAGGTATGAGGGAAACTGTGATTATGGAGGAGGATTTTGGCATCCGGCCGGCAACATACAAGCTTGACCAGCAATATTGTGTAGACGTGCTAACACACCACACCATGACATAACCACACACTACAACAACCCACACAAAACACATGTGTTACCTGTGTCTGGGCGAAGAAGACAGTGATGGGGTTATGCAGAACAGCCGCACGCTCGACCATGTCGTGGGTCGACCCCCAGCGCGTAGGACTGTCCTGCACCAGCTTCAACGCCGGCTTCGGCGTGGCGGGGTTGGCCTGCGAGTTCAAGGTCCGCTGTAGGCCCAAGAAAGACCCCGAGCGCTGTGGAGAGAAGCCAATCCACGACGCCATCTCTCTCAGTATCTTCAGCAATTTCCGTATGGAATCCACAGCCAGTGCTGCCTGCACTGCAAGGTTTATCACGTTTGCCAAGCACCTGCGCACGGAACACAACATTAGGGAAAGAGAAAAGAGGAAGTTGGAGGACACATGGTTAGAGCGAGCCACAAAAACCAAACCAGACCCCTCACAACCTACAACTCGAACCGCACCGGCCCACCCCTCCATACAACTACAAATTGTCCATTCTGGAACGACACACCCACAAAGGCAAACACACGCCCACATTCCCGCACGCCCAACCCACGCACACTCCCACACTCACCGGAAGTGCATGCGCGAGCTGAAGAAGCACTGACCACCACCCTCCTCCGACATCCGCCTGAAGGCGGCAATGTTGCTAGAGGAGTTGTCTGTCGTGAAACCAAGACAACGCCCCTCCAACCCCCACTGCACAACCGTCTCCTCAACCACCTGCGCCATCTCCCTGCCCCCATGCCGCCCGAGCATCTCACGGAACTCAAGCACCATTGTGCGCAGCTGGAAGTTCTCGTCTATCCAGTGACCTGTAACCACTAGCCATGCCTTGTTGTTGGGTGCCGTCCACATGTCGATGGTGATCGACACCTTGCACCCCAACTCCCCCTCCTTCGCCAACATCTCCGCAATGGCGGACTGGAGAGCCGCTGTTGCATAAACCACAGTGTCGCGGGATAACGTCCACCGCGAGGGGATGAAGTTCTTCTGTGCGCAGTTGCGGTTTAGCAGGATCAATAGCTCCCGAAACTGGAGGAGGGTAGAGTAGAGACAACTGCGAATGGTGGATATGTGAATGGTGGACATGTGAATGGTGGACATGTGAATGGTGGATATGTGAATGGTGGACATGTGAATGGTGGACATGTGAATGATGGACATGTAAATGGTGGACATGTGAATGGTGGACATGTGAGTGGTGGACATGTGAATGGTGGACATGTGAATGGTGGATTACAATAGAAGTATGAAATAGTCAACCACATACTGCCAAAACACCAGGCATGGGACACTCACGGTCGCGGACTCGACGATGCGGAAGGGGAGGTCGCAGGTGACCACCAGCTTGGCGATCGCCTGCCGTAGCTCCTCCGTGGACAGCTTGGTTGTCATGAACCGCTCCATCCCGCCTGACCCCTCAGCTCCACCGGACGCCGTCCCTTTCTTCTTTGCGAGATGCGGCCAAGACTTGGCATGCGGCCACCCATCGACGTAGCCATCCGGCACACCCTTGTAGCCCCCACGAGGAAACGTCTCCCCAGGCAAGTGAACGGACGGAGTGTGGTAACGGTGATGCCACACGTGCATGTGCGCTGTGTGGTAGCTCTCGAAGTGTCGCTCGCCGGGTGTTGTTGTGGATTGCTTCCACGAAATCCTGTCAGTGCAAATCTTGCACTGACGCTTCTCGTCTGCCCCTTTAGGCCCGAACATCTGTACTTGCCACCCCGGTTTTTTATGACCCTTGCCAGTCCCCTTACTACTCTCGGACCCTCCGTCCTCGTCTAGGAACTCCGGAGCGACCACACCCTCGCCCAAGGGCTTCCCAGTGAATGTGCAGGGATATGCTCGCTCCCTCAACTTGCTCGCCCTCTTCCTCCGCTTCGGCATCCTAATGGATGCCCGCTTTCTCCCCACCTTAACCCCCACGCTCCCTCCTCCTTCAGCCACATGCTGTGAGGCCGCCTCTGCGCCGCCCCTTCACCACCCTCTCCCACCCCCTCCTCCACCTCCTCTGGCTCCAACCCATCCATCTCATGGTCCTCCTCATCATCCCCCCCTTTCCCACCGCCATGCGTCTCGGGATCCCACCCGGCCTCACTGTCATCCCCGCTCCCCTCATCGTCCTCATCCTCCTCGCCCTCACCCTCCTCCTCCTCATCCTCCTCCCCACTGCCACTCTCCGGCTGCGTCTGCCCAGAAGGAGGGGGTCGCGGGCCTGAGTAACGGAACGAGTGACGGGACGTCGGCGCCGCTACGGAAAGAAACCCCCCGACGAAACAAGCGCCGGCTCCTGCAGGTCCATCCCCTACTCGCCCCTGCATAGGTCGTGGTGGAGAACCTGGTGTACCGCCCTGAGCGCTGCGTGCACCTCGTTCTACAGATCCATGTTGGCTGGAAGCCATAAATCAGCCCTCGGCCTTAAAACCCTAAAATCCCAAAGGAATGGTCGCGAGCCACGGATAGCACGGTCCTAATTGAACTCCTAGTTACGTGTGGCACGGAGAAATGCCGCCCCTACAACTAGGGAATTAGCCTCTACGAAATTGATCCCGTAGCTACTACGAACTAACCCCTCGCGATTTCTGAAATTACCCTTCACTACTACGAACTACTTAGTTGAAATGTTCGTGTAATAATTAGGGAACGGTGTGTGGTGGCTCTTAGGGATGAAGCCTATGGTGGGTGAGGGAGGGAGGGCTAACCAACAAAGATGTGTTGAGTTTGAGCTCAAAAAATGAGCTCAAACTCAACTTGGCCGCGACCTAAATTTGGTCGCGGCCAAATTTGACGCGAACACTTTAGTGTTCGCGTCATCCACTGGACGAACACGAACATGTTCGTGTTCGTCCACACTCCACCAAATGGAGGTGGCGAACGGCGAACATGTTCGGGCGAACACCGAACATGTTCGCCTCGAACTATTTTTTCCAAAAAAAAAAATAGTTCGGTTCGCCTCGAACATGTTCGAGGCGAACCGAACAGGTGTTCGAGATCCTGCTCATGTCTAGTGGACATAGACGCGTCCAGCGCCCAATATGGTAGCGTGTCTACGCTGGACACTTAGATGTCCTCCTCCGAACGTTGGATTTACGCTTGATTTATGCAGCAAAAAAAAACATTTCCTGGGCAGGGTGAAAATATAGGGGAGAGGGGGAAGGGGAGGCAGGATACCACACAGATTGTCCATATGAAACATTCTGTTTTCTCCAATTAGGTTGTTTGTATTCACAGCCATCCTTCCATGCTGGATATACGCTTGGGTCGTGTGTAAGGTAGCTAAGGAACCCTGTCTGCAAAATCTTCTAGATGTAGTTGGCATTTGCTTACGGTTGTGTGGGTCGGTTGCCTTCGCTAGAAAGAGAGCATGGTGAAAGAGAAGTTGCATGGGCAATGTTTGGAATCTGGTTCTGTTTAGGCGGAATCAAACCAGATTCCCATTAAAATTACAGTCGAGACCAATTTGTGGGTTGCGATTTCATCAGCGTACGGACGCGCTGGACGCTCCCTATCCAGGGCGTATGTGTCCACTTTGTTCTACTCTCATGTTCATGTGCCCACCAACATGTTCGCACACATGGTCGTGCTTGCGAGGAGAATATTGTGCTTGAAGTCACACCGTGTTTCTTTGGTTTAATCATTAATGTTTCATTTTACTCTCCAGGAGCATTCGGCAGAATAACATGCAAGGGCCCTTCCCGAGTGCTGTGCTCACACTTACCACCCTCGAATCCTTGTGCGTTCTCATCATGAGCTGAGAAGTCTATTTCCATTGGTTGAAGTCACAACAAAAGATGCCCGAAAAACAATTCTGTTGTAAAAAACAAGGTTAAAGTACATTGACCCAAAATTTCTCAAATACTGTTAGGATCATCGTGCTCTCACAGTTTGAAAGAAAGTTTCGAACGCTCGTGCATTCTCAGTGACAATGAACCTCTGGAGTCAGTCACTGTCAATCGAGGTTCCACCTGCATGTGATTTAGATTGCTATATGGTGGAAAGGGCTAGGAAAGAGCCTTCCATGGCCTAAAAAAAAAAAAAAAAGACACAAGGATTGGTTTGCCACAGCATATCCCTCCAATTTTGCTGCATTGACATTGGTTGCAGGGATATTGGACAAAACGGATTTTCTGGGTCCATTCCTGGGGGAATCTCCAAGCTCACACGGTTGAGAGAACTGTATGTCTCCACTGGCTTTCATGATGAACTTCTTTCCACCTCAAAGAGGAGTTGCTATGCACGGCAAATGCTCCTTTTTCCTGTGATGGATTCTTGTAGCCACGAGTTGTGAGGGAGGGGAGGGAGGGCTCCATGTGGCATCTGCTGGAATAAGTGATCAACAGGAGAGGATGTGGGATAAACATGTTTGGTATGATTATGGATAAAGGCGAGTTCAGGCTCACACTATGATATAGGGAAGTGAGCGAAGCAGTGTATTGTTCAGCAGCAGCATTTTCCAGCGTCCGGACGCTGGGACGCAGCGTGGATCTACGCCGCAAAGATCTGTGTGGATCTGGCCATGACATTGCGTAACTGCTTTCGGCACATGTCATAAGTTTCGAGGTTTCCATGTCTGTCGGTTTTGGCGCAAATTGAAAGCGTGTCGAAGTGATAGTGGTTCAATCCAAGCATGAGTTGGTTCGACTCGAGCCGAATCCACTAGATAGACGGAGCGCAACATTCGTAACGAACCGCTTTGAGTCAACTCAAACCGGGGCATATTTAAGTATTTTCAGGCTGCCTCTGGCCCAGGGCAGTGCTGGGCCGACCCGCCCCAGTCTGACAGCTGGAAAATGATAGCCCAGCCCGGCTGATGTCCGGCTGGCCCATGCTCATGTCCACTTTGTAGTGTTTCGGCCAAATGGGTCAGCCCCAGCCTCTTCCTCCTGTTTCCTCACCTCACATGTTTTTTTTTCATCTGTCTGCCTTACCAGATATCTTGACTACAACAGCTTCCACGGGGAGATTTCATGGATCTCCACTCTTTTGACTATGGAAAGCTTGTATGGGTCCATCCAGATGCATCTTACCGCCTCCTCTTGTCGAAATGACCTTCCTCTATCTGTGCAACCTCCGTTCATCTTCCACTTCTTGTTGTTTAACAAAGCAGCATCTTTGTGTGCACCGGGACTTAGTTGCAAAAGACGTAGCTCAATTGTACTCAACACCCAACCAATGCGGCCGACGAGGCAGTTTGCCTCTACTTCGCGGGGACGCGCACGGCGGAGCTTCAGTGCGAGCACCCCCTCTTCCTCAACATGCTGCGTGCCGTTGCCGCCGCCGGAGGCAGCTACGTCCCCCCCAAGCGCGGCTACGTTGGAGGCGCCTGGCAGCTGGAGTGCAAGCAGCGGATTGAGAAGGGATTGGAGCCCGTTATCAGTACGTGGAAGGAGACGGGCGTGTCGATCGCCATCGACATGATGATGGACAAGTGCGGGCGCGCGCAGATGAACATCATCTGCATCAACGACAGTGGTGCAGTTTTCACCGAGGCGGTCGACTGTAAGGCGGAGGCGAAGAGTGGGGTGTTTATCGCCGGCATCCTGCGGCCGGTCATTGAGAAGGTTGGGCCGGAACACGTCGTCGCGCTTTGCACGGACGGCGGCAGCAACTACGTGGCAGAAGAAGTACCCGCACATCGACTTCCTGCGCATCCACACGTGGACGCGTGCCTACCTGCGGAGTTCCGAGCTTCACGGGGAGAAGGTGCTGCAGCCGTTGCGACTGGCGGGCACGCGCTTTGGGACGCAGTACATCGCAGTGCCAGAAGGGGAAATGGGGGCGATGTTAGGGATGAGCAAGGGGTGAACACGAACATATCCGTTTGCCGAACCGAACAGTGTTCGGTGCGGCGAACACTTTAAGCAAAAACACGTGTTCACCGTTCGCCTGTGAAGGCGTGTTCGGGCGAACCTCGAACCCGTTCGTGTTCGTCGTGGGGCAAATTGCAGCAGCGGCCCGAACACGAACGTGTTCGGGCGAACCTCGAACACTGTTTGGCGAACACTTTAAGCAAAAAAAACAAACCTGTTCGGTTCGCCTCGAACGTGTTCCAGGCGAACCGAACAGGTGTTCGCCCTTGTGCTCATGTCTGGGCGATGTACGACATCATGCTGCTGCTGAGGGAGGAGTTGTCGGCGCTGTAGGAGAGGGATGATTGTCAGCTCAAGCCGGCGGATAAGGAGGGGGTGCAGAAGCATTTGAGGCGGCGTTGGGATGAGAGTTTGGCCTGCCCCCTTCACGTGGTCGTCCGGATTTTGAACCCGGCCAACCAGAAGGAGGGGATATTCCTCAAGGATGTTGAGTGCACCAGGGTGATGAAGGCTTGGCTTTCACGCTCAGCGGCCTTCGTCGACAAGTACTGGAAGATGTCCAGCATGAAGGGAACGTCCAAGGCGCTGCAGGAGGCTATGCTGGCGTTTGTTGAAGGGAAGGGGTGCTTTGGCACAGAGGAGGCGATAGAGGGGCGTGCGGAGCTGCAGGCCGCGCGTGCCGCGCACTGTCACAGCCCGTTTCTGCTTCCCCGTGCGAGCGGGGGTGGGCTGTTTGGGATGGCGTGCACACGGCGCGCAGGAACAAGCTGGGGTCGGAGAAGCTGCGCGACCTTGTGTTCGTTGCGCACAACTGGACTGTTGTGCACAACTACCACAAGGTTGCGGCTGGAGGAGGGCCAAGTGGGGAGGGGAAGTAAGGAAGGACGGGGTAGTGGAGGGGAACATTCCCACCCCCCCCCTACCCGAGGGGTACGAGTTGGAGGAGGATGGGGAGGTGGAGGTGGACGAGGACGACATGTGCGTCGACGAGTACGAGCACCAGAAAGACGAGGAGGAGAAGGAGAGCGAGGAGGAGGATGAGGATGAGTGATTGTTTGCATTGTTGCCATAGATGTATGCATGTTGCTGCTGCTGAATGACTTGATTAAGTGTGTACTTGACTAGACCTTGTGACATTTGTGACTCACCATGATTTTGATTATGGGGGAAAAAAAATTGATGGGGTAAAATTTGCATTGAATGTGTGCAACGTCGGTCCCCCCACCCCCCTTCCCGTGCCCTAGACATGAGCACAAGGGCGAACACCTGTTCGGTTCGCCTCGAACAGGTTTGTTTTTTTGCTTAAATTGTTCGCCGAACAGTGTTCGATGTTCGCCCGAACACGTTCGTGTTCGGGCCGCTGCGGCAATTTGCCCCGCGACGAACACGAACGTGTTCGAGGTTCGCCCGAACACGCCTTCACAGGCGAACGGCGAACACGTGTTTTTGCTTAAAGTGTTCGCCGAACCGAACAGTGTTCGGTTCGGCAAACGGATGTGTTCGTCTAGGGGCGAACACGAACATGTTCGTGTTCGCCCCTTGCTCATCCCTACCGTGCCCTATAACCTTTTTTTTGGCTGCCTGGGGTTTTTTTTGCCCTGCCCGGGCATGCGTCTTTTGATGCGTCTCCCATGCTCTCATAAAGCGTCCTGCATCTAAGACGCTGTGTCTGGACGACAACGTATTAGACGCAAGACGCGTCTTTCGCAACTAAGCACCGGGATACCCCCAAGCATTCTTCCAAACTGAATACTTCTAGAGATTTGTATGCATGCTGTATGAGCGAGCATGTACCAAACTTGAACCATTTCTGGTCGATCTGTGTCGAAGAGCTGCCATCTCTTTGCGTACAACGCGGTTTTCTTCCCCTCTCGAAGCAGTGCTTGGCACCCTTCCTCTGCCTTTCTTCGATTCTCGTTCCCTGCCTTGGCTAGTTACTAGTCCCACCTCGAGTCAGACTGGGTGCTGCTATATGTCCAAGAAACACAGAGTTGACGCTTCAACTCGCTTTCACACCGTCCACATTCGTTACAAGTTCAAGGTCTTCTTATTGCTGCTGAGGAAGTATCGCACATACGCGTACGGTTAGGATTTCTCCGGTTTAGAGCTGTTTAAGGCCTAACAAATTATAATATCGATTCGAACCGGTTGTGTTGGCAAACCACTTGCATTGCAAACAATATATTCCATGTTGTGTGTAACGTTCATAACTCCCATGCACAGGTCGTTGCAATACAACAAATTCAACGGGCAGCTGCCGAATACCCTGTCCCTGACTGCTTTAAACTCACTGTGAGTATAAATGCGTTTTAACAATGATTTGTCATGTCGCTGCATGTTAAGAAATGAGTGATGATTTTTCATGCTTGTTTCCATTTTACGTCACGGCCGCTGGTGCATACCGTTAGGTAGGCTTGAGCAAGGTGGCGAACACCGTTCGAGGCGAACCGAACAGTTTTTGTTTTTCAGCTTAAATCGTTCGCCCGAACGTGTTCGATGTTCGCCCGAACACGTTCGTGTTCGTGGCGCTGCTGCAGAACGCCCCGTGTCGAACACGAACGTGTTCGAGGTTCGCCCGAACACGCCTCCACAGGCGAACAGCGAACACCTGTTTTTGGCTAAACTGTTCGCCGAACCGAACAGTGTTCGGTTCGGCAAAAGGGCGTGTTCGAGAAGGGGCGAACACGAACATGTTCGTGTTCGCCCTTTGCTCATCCCTACCGTTAGGGCATACTGAAGTATTCCACGTCAATCCGGGTCGGGCCGGCCACCTAATTGGTTCAAACCAGAAGCATCTCATGTCGAAGCCTCTTTACACCCAGCCGGCCCGTAGCGCAATCGTCTGCAGCTCGCCTCAAACCTCAGGCGGCTTATGATTGGTTCGAGTTCGTCCCGTCCTTGATGGGAATGCTTCCAAAAGCAAGATGGAAACTGCTCTTTCAATGCCAAGTAGGCATGAACAAAAGTCGAACCCGAACCAGTTCAAGTTGAGCCGACTTGAACCGGCAGGCTTTAGAACCGACCCGAACCAGTTCAGTTCGTCTTGGTTTTGATCACTTCATTTCGTTTTGACCGAGCATTCGTCACAATGATATCTTGTGCTCAACACATGAGCAAAGACGCGAACTGCACTTCAATTCATTTTTGTTGAACCTAGACACGGTAGATCAATGTCTGACACAAAGCTTTTGTTGTTTCAAGCACATTGCAAATTTAGATCTGAGCATAGCTGATTTTTTTGAGGGGGGGTCGCTTGAGTGGCTCGCGAGTCTAGTGACTTCATCTCGAGTCAGGCCTAACGCCCACAAAAGTTGAGCATGAGTCGGCAGTTAGAAACTATGTGGCAAAAGCCGCGTCCTGCGTCTAGGACACTTGCGTCTAGACGCAGCGTCTTAGACGCAGGACGCTAGATGAGGGCCTTTAGGACGCATGAAAAGACGCATGCCCGGGCAGGGCAAAAAAAAACCCCGGGCAGCTGTAAAAAAAGTTATAGGGCTTGGGAAAGGGGGGGGGGGGGGGGGGGACCTTTGCACACATTCAATGCAAAAATTTCCCCATCAATAAAACCTTAAGGGTTTACTAAGGAGAATTGGGGTTGTGAATGGAGGGAGCACAAATGAGATGTGTGCAACCCTAAATGGGTTTGGTTGGAGGCCACAAAGGTTGGATGTTCTAGATGTAGAGTGGTTGGGTGGGTTGGGTTGGGGGCTTTACAAATTTGTGTAGAGGGGTTTGAAGTTGGAGGGGGGTGTGCTGTTTTCAATGTCGAGTTGCTTTTGGGGGGTCGTTTTTTCGCGAATTTGACATTTGCGTCGAATTCGCGAATGTCAATTTCGCGTTTCGGGATTATTTTTTTCCAGAGGCAGACCGAAAAAAAAACAGGGTGCGTCCTGCGTCTCTGCGTCCAGACGCAGGCAGGACGCAGCAGGACTCGTGCGTCTTTTGCCACATAGGTTAGAAACAAAAGACTAGACTATGGCTTGACTCAACTCGACTCGGCATACCTCCCGACTCGTCTCTGATTCATGCTGACTTGACTGGTGACTAAGTCTAATCGAAGCGGTTTGAGTATATACTTAAACGTCGCACGTCAAGGGTTTTTCACCAGGCACAAATGTGGACCAGTTTTGTTGGCTCGTGTTGAAGCGAGGCTGGGCTGTCTCAGGCTAGGCATGAGCACACAGTGAGGCGAGTAATACTTCCCTTGTTTTTGCTAGACTCTATACAAGTAATTCTTGCCATTCGCCGAGTTCTTACTTGTCATTTTTCACATACTCGCATCGCCAGGAGCATCCCCGCGGAGACTCAAAACTCCTACACGTGGAATATTCAACCATGCCGGGCACCCCCTTTGTCCAGATCCCCCCTCCCTCTCCCCCTTCCTCCCTCCCCGCTAAGTGGGGAAAGAAAGAATTAAGGAGTGCCGGATTACAAATTCAGAGTCCCAATGAAAAACTGTAAATTAACTAGTGCGGTCAGGATACGAGTGGGTACGGGAGAGATCCTACACTCATCCCACTCGTATCCTGACCGCTACGAGTGGAGCGCAATCAATCTTAGGGTTCACGCTACTTAAGGCCAACCTGTCTGGTTCTACTTGTTGTGCAGCAAGTATGTTCCAGAGGGTAGATTCTCACCTTTGGTCATAGAGATTGTGGGTTCAATTCTTAGCAGCTGCACTTTCCCTTTTCCTTATGCTCCACATTACATGTCCACACTCCACCACAGTGAAATGTGGTCACAGTTGGCATTGCCACTTGTCCACTCATCCCACACTCACCTTGCTGGCCTCTATGGTGTGTTATATGCTGTTATGTGGGCTGTTGTTCCAGTCTGGCCCACATGTGCAACATGTGGCCTCACTTGCTAGCTTGGCAAGGTTGGCTAGCCTTGCCTTCAGCATTGAGGTGCTGCAGCTAGCCCCAAGAGTTCAGCCACATATATGTGGCTTCCCACTTCACTAAGAATCATTCTTGGACAAGGACCTTGCTATAGTCTTTAAGACTTGTACCATTTTCTTGCTAAGGATATTTCTTCTTCCTATCGTGCCCTAAGTTCACCGATCCATTTTCTTCACTACTCATATGTATGCCTATAAAGCGAGGAATCTTTTGCTTGCCTCGCTTCGGGTGAGTATAGGAAAACGCAACCTGTTACTTGCCCTGAAGGAGTAACAAAAATGGGGTGAGTTTTTTGCTCGCCTCGTTGCTCATGTCTAGCTTGAGCCGTTTGCACAGACAAACCCTTTATCCTGTCTGCAATTGATGTAACCATGTGTTTTGTCAGGTTGCTCCAGAACAATGGTTTCTCAGGATCGTTACCTGATTTTTCAAAGTGGTCTACTTCCCTATTGACTCTGTAAGTTGTACAAAATTGACTGTTTGTTTTTTGGAGACAGCAACATGAGTTGAGCTGTATTGAGGACGTTTCTGGCCCAACGATCATAACGAAGCACATTGTCAAGTAAATAACATCTCATTGAAGGGCTCTGTGGTTTGTTTGAGTTAACATGTACGACAAAGCATCAGATCTTTGTAGCTGGTGCATGACAAACACTCTGTACAATCCTTCCGAGGCGAACTGAACATTCTGTAGCATCAGCATGAACTGAACCACAACCATGTTAACGGAGCCAGAAACACTCGGACATGAACTCCGTGCCTGCGACCCTGCATGCTGCCCTGCCGTTATTTGGCCCTAGTCATTTAATGATTAATTAATTTATTTGAGGTTCGACGTTTTGGCTAACATTGACAAACATTTCCATTTTTTGTCGAAATCATGTGGTTTTGATTTGACCCGAGTGTCAAACGTCATCCTACTGCTGCTACCTCTTGAAATGTAGTTAGAGTAAATGATCACCTACGACCCCGTCTACCTTGTGACACTGCTACATCCTCCTGGAATGGACCTTCATTTATATAGGCAGGGAATTACAGTACGCGTGATAAGGTGAGTATGTAAACAGAAACTACCTACCGGCGTTCTACAGCGCACCGTTGCTCCCTTAATAGTGTGGGAATTGGGTTCATGGCTGCTGGAGTTGCGACAAGGGCGGCGTGTGTCCTGACGATAAGAGCATTCGCATGAGCCCATAGGAGTGTGCAGGACCAGTGCTGGCAGAAGGAGTAACATAGCTTCTCCGCCGCCTCCCTGGAGGAAGGTTTCTCTGCGGTAGGGAACACCCTCGGGGGAGCAAAAGCCTCAAGTATTGGCGGCCACGGCAAAGAAGCCGAACCACTCCGAATGGTGGCGGTACTTGTGCTGTTAATTTCCGAATCTTGAAACCTACAGTCAATTCTGGCATGGGAATGACATAGTTGGTGCAAGGGTCAGCAGGATAGGCTTAGAAGGAGCTGGAGCTCGAATAGATGTAGGTTTTTAACCTATATTCAAACCACACAGCCCAATTTGGTTGACATGGCTTGGGACAAACCAGTCAAACCAGCCTCGAGCAGAACTAAAACCGATTCTTCTTAAATCTGGCAACCGAAAGAGAACGTCCCATTCGGTTGGCGAACTAGGGTTCAGTTCTTTGCTTATGCCTAACTTACACAGTCCTGCAATATATGTGCTTAACAAAAATACGCATCACCAGGCAGATATGGTTTTTGTGCTTTGTGGGTGCAATGTGGGTGCAGGAATCTCAGGGCCAACAATCTCACAGGGTCCATCCCAGACTCCATTAGTACTCTGACAAGTCTTTTTTTCTTGTAGGTTTGCTGGTTGTTTTATTCAAAGTGTTTGTCTTTCTTGTGCATAAAAAATCCTTTCAGATCCGTGGACACATGGACGTATATATGTGAATGTAGGGTCACCTGTGGACCGAAGTGGTACCACACTCCTAACTGTGATGCATTGAAGCCACCTGGGAGTTACCACCTACCAATAAGCAATGCTTTGGTGGAAAGCATGTGGCATGCCCCTTATGTTTCATGACACGTCTCTAAATCTGTTGTATGTGCTATTGATGCTCTCTGCAGTACCGTGAGCAGAAACCAGATCTCGGGAACCATCCCAGTAGCTCTGTTGAGCTTAACGAGCCTGAATCTTGTGTAAGCAAACCCTCCTGTTTGCTTACCTACTTACGTCAACTCCTTATCCATCGCATTCCTCTTTTTCTCTCCACATCATGCATGCGTTTCCTACATACTCGTGTGTCCACAACACCTCATAGTCTTCCTCAGTTACTGAATGTGACATGCCACATGCATTCATTTCGTTTACATGAAGTATTTTACTTACGTTGCCAGATCACTATGCATCATGTGTCTGTCATCCCCGCACCCTCACCAGCGACCTTGCTTCCAACAGCTTTTCAGGACCCTTGCCTTCGGCCATTGGTGCTCTCTCCAATCTTGCTAAGTTGTACGCACTGTGCTGTGCACTGTGCTGCAGTAATCTATGTTAGTAATCTAGGATTAGATTTTGTGGGCCTTGCTGTTCCACACATCCTAATGTGGTAAATTGCTAAATCAAGCCCACAAATTGGAATTTGGATTGATCTCAGGGTACGTTCTTGGCCAGTGTCAGGTGTACTGACATGAAGCTGTGAAGGGTCTGGATTGAAGTGATGATAATGTGGAATGATCAGAGTTGTTGAAATCCTTGTGTCAGAAAGCTTGACACTGGCCAAGAACGTACACTCATCAGGGATTGCCTCCAATCTCCTTCCTACCTTCTCCACCCATTCAAAGGGCACTCAGCTCTAGCTCTTACAGTGCACTTTTGCGATTCCTTGCACACCTGAAGCCAACCCCTTGCAAGCGTTGGGTAATACTGTGCTCTTGAGAAGCACAGCTTCATGTCTCACAGTCTCTGCTTGACCTGGTCTTCCCCACTCGCCAGATCTGATAACTCTCCTCCCCACGTGCTGGCAGGTCTGTGTATGACAACCTGCTCTCAGGCACGCTCCCCACATCCATATGCAACCTCACACTCATGGACACCATGTAATGCCTCTCACACTCATGGACACCATGTAATGCCTCTCACACTCATGGACACCATGTAATGCCTCTCACACTCATGGACACCATGTAATGCCTCTCACACTCATGGACACCATGTATGTATTGCCTCTCACACTCATGGACACCATGTATTGCCTCTCACACTCATGGACACCATGTAATGCCTCTCACACTCATGGACACCATGTAATGCCTCTCACACTCATGGACACCATGTATTGCCTCTCACACTCATGGACACCATGTAATGCCTCTCACACTCATGGACACCATGTATTGCCTCTCACACTCATGGACACCATGTAATGCCTCTCACACTCATGGACACCATGTATTGCCTCTCACACTCATGGACACCATGTATTGCCTCTCACACTCATGGACACCATGTATTGCCTCTCACACTCATGGACACCATGTATTGCCTCTCACACTCATGGACACCATGTATTGCCTCTCACACTCATGGACACCATGTATTGCCTCTCACACTCATGGACACCATGTATTGCCTCTCACACTCATGGACACCATGTAATGCCTCTCACATCACACTCATGGACACCATGTAATGCCTCACACTCATGGACACCATGTATTGCCTCTCACACTCATGGACACCATGTAATGCCTCTCACACTCATGGACACCATGTAATGCCTCTCACACTCATGGACACCATGTATTGCCTCTCACACGCATTGTATTGAACGCAACGGTAGATTAAGGGGATCGGAATCAGAAACTTGAAGTTCCGATTCTCGGAAAACAACCGAGTTCCTGAATAGACGCAAATTTGAGATTTTCTTATGGTTTTTCCCAGGCTGAACGAAATAAGCAAAAAGGGAGCGTTTAGCATACGCCTTGTGACCATTGCTGGGAACTTGGTGTTTCGGGCGTCCACGGTAACTAAGGGTCGACCTGTTCCCAACCTGGTTCAACTCGGGTCGGACCTGCGTTACAGGATCTGGCACAGGATTGAATCAAACCTCAGATGGCCTAAGGACGGGCTGGATCGAGTTCGGCCCGAGCTCACTTTGATTATAAGTTACCGCTGACGCTCAAGGGGCAGAGTGTCTGGACACTTGACAGACACTAGATGCTTAGATAAGAAAACCCGTGCAGCCAGAAAAAGGAAAGATGAATTTGAGGTTTCGACGAGAATTTCAAATTGTCGTAATCTTTTATTGGAGCCTCCTACAATCTGGTCATGAAACTCTCCTTTTTTATTTATCTCCGCAGGTTTCTCCGCAACAATTACTTCTATGGAGAGTTTCCTTCGTGCCTCTTTGAACATTGTTTGCACCGAATGTGAGCAGGGAACTTAAGATGGTCCCCTTTTAGAACACACAAAGCTCGCATGTGTACCTGTCGTCCACTGGCAATAATCGCAAGGGCCTCGTCTCACAAATCTCCTATTATTGTTTTCAAGATGGTGGGTGTGTGTGAGGGGCAATGCATGGAATAGAACAGGTGTGCAGCACAAATCACCATGAACAAGCACATGAAACTAAGGGTCCCACGTATACTGCTCCCCGTCCCGCTTGAGCCTGGCAGTGACATCAGCAACAACAGTTTCTATGGGCACATCAACACCAATTTCCGCAGCACGGTTCCGGACGACAATGGGCTCCTGAACATCGCCAGCAACTATTTCTACGGCGACCCCACGCTCTACGCCGATGGCTGCCAGTTCTGCCCCTCCGGGGTCATCCCGCCCCACGTGCTGGAAGAGCCTTACAAAGGTTCGAGCAATGCTGGGCGATGTGGATACAGCGCAGCACAGGAGGGGGCTCGGAAGCAAGGCCGGGCAAGTGTGCGGCTGAACTGCTTCGCGCTGAACCAGCAGGCAGGGTGCACGGCAAATGAGACGCAACGGGGAAACGAGGCATGCCTGTCATTCTGTAGTATGTCGCGGGAGCAAGGGCAGTGTGACGGGCACGGGGCGTGCGTGCCAGTACAGGCAGGCGCGGCAGATGGGGGGTTCATGTGTGAGTGTGAGGAGGGATTCGTGACGATCAACGGCACCTTCGGCTCCACGTGTGCTCGACCTTCTCCGCCAACATCTGCAGGTGAGCTTTGGGATACCTAAGGTCGTGTGTGTCTATGATATGCCTGATTCGCGTGTGTTGAAGAGGAGCGACAAAAAAGAGTTGAAGTTGCAAAGCAAGCAAAGCAGACAAGGTGTCCCGCGGTGCCATAGTGAGTTTGATTCATGTGCCATGGTGAGTATAGCTCATGTGTCACGTGGTGCCATGGTGAGTATGGCCGTCTGCAGGTGCGGATTGGGATACCCAAGAACATGTGTGTCTATTGTTCTCATATTCGCGTGCGTAGAAGAAAAGTTACAAGAGATAGTTTAGGTTGCAATGCAAGAGAAGCAAGCAACGTACCATGGCATGGTGGTGAGCATGACTCGTATGGCGTAATGAGCATGGCTAGTGTGGCATGGTGAGCATGGCTTGTATGGCATGGTGAGCACAGCTATGCCATGGTGGCTTGTATGGCAAGGAGACAAAGCATGAGTATGAGCATGGCTTACTTATATCATATGACATGGTGAGCGTGGCTCATATGCCATGGATTCGAGCCGAGCCAGCTCACCCTGAGCCACCACAGCCGGTTTGTGGCTACCAGTATGGCTCGTCGCAGTCTGCCAGATTTGCCATTTCGCAACCGACCAGCTAGCGGCTTGACCAGGCGGCTGAGCAAAATCCAGGTTTTGCTCGACTCGCCACATTGACGAAAGTGGGGTGAGATGTGCATCAAGGGGTCAATACCTGGACAGCTTTTGACTGGCCCCACACTTCCCCCCACACCCCTCTCACCTCACCTGTCGTTTCTCGCCCACCTCCTCAGGGCTATCCACAGGTGCAGTGGTGGGGATTGCCATCGGCTCAGCTGCAACTATTGCTCTCCTCCTCGCTCTGGTTGTCGTTCTGCTCTGGCCAAAACAACGCAGTGAGCTTCTTCTCCCTCCCCTCAGCCGTTCTTGCTCCAGTGCTACCAGCATTAGGCCAGGTCCTTAGGCATGAAAAGAGAAGCGGCTATCTCACTCTATTCCCTTGGAACCTCGCTGTGTCATTCTGTGTCGTTTGTGCCAACACTACTGCCTGGCATTTGCATATGAGAAAGTACGGCCTGCCTAGCTATTTGTTAGTGTGTAATCTGCTCCCTCTCCTGTTTCTTGTACACTTTGTTGCCATAAATGCAGACGTAAGTTTAGTACTGCACTGTGGTTCATTTCTATTCGAACTGAGTCTATTCATACGATTCAAAACGAATCGTAAAAGGCTTGACCACATAGGGCGAACCTTAAACCCCTGCCCTCTGGGGTTTGATTCAACTTGAACCAAATCTTTCAGTTCAACAAACTTACCGAATTGGCTCAGTTTTTGTTAAAATGGTTCGAGTTTGACTTCTGCTCATGCCGTCTGCTGTTCGAGTAATGCTGTCTGAGACTCTGTGCACCTAACGCTCAATTTGTGACCATGGCCCCAATGCTTTGCGTTCCATGTGGTGGCCGCTGTTGCTGCCATCTTGTCTGCCTCAATCTGCTGATGATTGTTCTGTTGGAGCTGCGTCTTCTTCTTACCAATGCATGCATGCTGCTCACTTCACTGTCATCACCAGAGCGGTGGAGGGACCTGGACGTGTGTCAGGAGTTCAGCATCGGTGAGATTCTGCAGGCAACTGACAACTGGTCGAGCGACAACGTGCTGGGCAAGGGCGGCTTTGCCACGGTGTACAAGGGAGTGTCACGCAAAGGAGAGCTTCTGGCGGTGAAGCGAGTTGAACTCATGTCCAACGAGTTTGAAACCGAGGTGAGGAGATGTGGACTTAAAGAGAAGAAAAAGTCTCAGTGATGCAGTGCATCAGACAGTTGAGATTGTTAAGGAAACCTCATTCTGTAGAGTGGAGTGTAACAAGGACAAGATGCTAAGGAACACTGAAGTGTTGTAATATTATACTTTATACAACATCCAAAGGCTAAACTATAGGGTGTAGTCGTTTGTTCTATTGGGGGGTTGTTGGGTGTACCCTCCAACCATAACTTGTGGTTCGTCAAGATTGGCTGTGGTCCTTGGTCCTTGGTTGGCACTTGCCAAGCCTTAACTTTAGCTCCACCAATCCCAACCAACTCACAATTGTGGTTGCTTGGGCTACAAGCAACCTCACCCATCGGCGAATATAGTGGCCAATAGGGATAGCTTCCTCCTCCTCCCTTGCTCCTTGCTTGTAATATAGAGCCTCTTGGCTCATTACTCAATACACATTCTTCTTTCTAAGACAAAGAACGGCTTTATCAGAAGTTTTTGGCTTCTCATTTTGGTCAGTTAGTATTTATCTTCTTGTGGATCTCTGGGCTGCAAGAGATAGGAAATTTGGGTTGCATCCTTAGCCAAAGCTTGGGCGCATTCAATCAAGGGCAAATGTTATGAGCTGAAATGAACCTTGCTGAAACTTGGTCTCAAGTTTGAAAACGAGGAAAGCCGGAAAATTTGGCAGCAAAGAATTTGGGGAGACTTTTTCGGTTGAATTTTTGGCTGGAGTCTGAGAATTTCGGTGCTATTATGTTATACCTAAACAAACTGCCTAATAATCCTTGGCGGCAAAATGCAATATATGTAATATATCAAATGCCAGTAAGGTTTGCACCCATTGATATATGTAATATATAAAACTAAATACGATTTTGGGCGAAATTTTCCACCAATATATATATATATATGTTTTTACATATGTATATGTATATATTCAGACAAAAAAAATCAAAAAGTTAGGGCGAAACTTTCGCTCAGATTATAAAAAACTATTGGCAGAGTTTTGCACCTTCAAAGGAGGTGAGTATCTGTTTACTTCTCTTCACACGGGAAGATATACAGAATGGTCCATTGAGTGGTGGGAGGGGAGGTGGCTATTTGTCCCCAACCTACACGACCCCTCCCTGTCCCTCATGCACTCGCTGGCAGGTGCGAGCGATGGCATCGCTGCGCCACGACAACGTGGTGCGCCTGCTGGGCTTCTGCCTGCATCAGAGCACGGAGAGTGGGCGGCAGGAGCAGATCCTCGTGTACGAGTTCATGAGCAATGGAGACCTGCAACACCACATCCATAGCAAACGTTGTATGCTTTTAACTGACTTCCACATTCTTTTGTGCTGATGTTTCACGTTCTTCCACACTCTCCCACATCTCCACTTTCTCCTCTTCTGTGCTGTAGCCCTGCTGGATAGTTTTTCACCTGGGGAAGTGAAGCAGCAAAATTATTTGCCTTATTCCTGCTGCAATAATATATTGTGGAGAAATGAAGTGCCGTCAATGACTGCAAATCAAGTGCACAGGTGATGTGCCTTAGCTGTACTGTTCGCTGGAGAGATGACGTCTTTTTTTTCAAGTTTATGGCCGGCCTTTAAAGTGAAGTTCAGCAACAGATATACGTGAAAGAAGCTAGCTAGATCGTGTTTTATTGCAAGGGTATTACAAGGTGCTCAACCAAAAAGGTTGTGAGGCCCAACGGAAACGAGTGAGACGTGGGACCTGGAGGTGGGAGGTACGGGCAGACTCATGGGCCCCCAATGAGGTAGTGGACTTCCAGTGCAGCTTTGGGGAATAGAAAGAGTAACGCTGGCTGGACGCCCAAAGGGCCCATGACAAATCAAGGGGTATCTGCAATATACACTAGGCGCAGCTGCATCTGTTCTCAATTTAATGTGAACTCGCAGAAGTTCCGTGATGACCTCAACGGCTGGGTAAAGTGTCTATATCCTACTCCATAGCACGTCATAGCCAGCGCTTCATTTTGTCTTCTTGATCTCATCCTCTCTATTGCCCTTTTGTACCATTATGTATTGCTATTATTCTCTGTACAGAGTGTACAGGTTAACCTCGCGTAATGCTTGTTTTCTACCTCGTCATATCTTCTCGTCCATCTGCTCTGCTCTCCTCCCAGCCTCTTTGTCTCTGCACCAGCGGGTGAAGGTGGCGCAGGGAGCAGCGGAGGGAGTGGCATACCTGCACAGCTTCACCCCGCCCATCGTGCACCGAGACCTCAAGCCCGGCAACATCCTCATTGGCGACCTCTTCCAGGTGAGAACGCGCAGGGGCATGCAGTTGAGGTGAGATGCTGTAGAGGGAAACGGGAGGGAGTACGCAATGTCAGTGTCTTCTGCCTTGTTGGTTGGTGGTGCCAGCAGCATAGTGACGATGCACGATGGTCCACATGTCGTTTTTTGCATGCAGCAAAGTGCATTGAGCCAAGTAGCTTCGCTGTTGGGTTAACAATGTGTCTGGGTGCCACCTTAAAATCTTACCGTGCCGTGCTACAATGGAGCAGCACGGGCAGGTGAGTGCAGTTTAATCATAACAGATGGGAGGCTTGCCACTTGTCACACACCGCAGGATGGACGGAATTGACCTGTGCTGTGCCCAGCCAAATCAAACTGGGACACATTTAGGGTGCCTTGTTGTGTGTCGCACGGGGCTACGACCATGCATGCATTCCTGCTTCCACGCATGCACCTAGAATCTATATGTGAAATGTCAGATTTTGAATACCTGTGTAACTGCATGTCTCTTTGAGTCCAGGCCAAGATCGCAGACTTTGGGTTGCTCAAGAAGCTCACCGACACAGATGGGGGAGGCGACACAACACGGGTGGCAGGAACACCGGGCTACGTGGATCCGGACTACAACCGAACACACGTGGTGACTGAGAAGAGCGACGTGTACAGGTCTGTTGCTCCCAGCATCGACTTTTCAAAATGGGTACAAGCACGTGGCAACTGTGGTACACACTGGCAGAGCTATTCGTTATTCTGCACATTCTACTCAAGCATCCACATGCAAAGTGCCATGGGAAAAACTGCCAACAATTAGGGGTTCAATTTTGCTCCCCTTCCGCTTCTGCCGTGGCAGCTTCGGCATTGTGCTGCTGCAGCTGCTAACAGGGCATGGGACGCATGTGGAGGGCACCAACCGTCACATCTGCCGCTGGGTATGTGCAGTATGCATTTGCTTAATCAAGGTCAACAGGGTTCCATTACAGCATCATCTCGAGCCCATGTTTCCATAATAATCACCGACTAGAATGCAACAACTTTGTCATTCTACTCTCTCCTCCACCTCCTGTGTTTCTTCATGTCCCTCAACTTCCCACACCTCCACACCGCACCCCACCGCATGGCAGGCGACCAGCAAGGTGCAGGCGTACGAGTTTGCCTCACTCAAGGACCCCAAGCTGGATGCGCCAGAGGAGGCGGTGGTGGAGCTGGCAGACATCGCGCTCGACTGTGTCAAGGTGCCCGGATCCCGCCGCCCCGACATGAAGGACGTCGCACGCCGCCTGCAGGGCCTCCTCACCAAGTACTGTGCGGATGGCTCTTCCATTAGCACTGGCCAACCTGGAATGCACATGGAGGTGGAACCCAGCGTTCGTGGCAATATCAGCGTCGATACGTTAGAGAGAAGCGAGCTGTCAGAGGGACCCAGTGAGTGGGCTACTTCCAGGATCCTCCGCTCGTCTTTGTCAAGCAAGTGGTGGTCATTCCAGTAGGGACTACATGAAGAGGCCTCTTACTTATCTTATAGAACTTACAAACAGTGCTTAATTTGCATTATTTTGGACCCTGGTTTTCAGTGTGGCTGATTTGTTGTCAAGGTTGTATGGGAGCTTTGCTTCAAGTGTTGCGATGAGTAATATTACTTTCATCAGTATCTCTTAGGGTTCATAGGTGTGACGACTGTCACAGTGAATGTAAAGTGGCACATAGGTTCTATAGTGACACAAAGATATACGTCGGTTTATAAAGAGTGCCGCAGAAGAGGAAAGGTTCTAGTCAAGCCATCTACCGTAAGCCCCCAGATATAAGCGCAGGCCTCGGATAAGCGCCGGCACTGTTAAAGTAGGAGGTTAAGTGGAGGGGCCGTATTTAGGGTTTGAGTCAGGACTAGTCAGTGAGGGGCGTTCACCCAGAGTGCTGCAGTCACCAACCGCAGCTGGGACCACCGTGGTTAAGTACCGTACCATGGCACGAGCCCGCATGCGGTTTAACCCCAGCAGCGGGTGCCAGTGTGCGCGTCGGAGGCGACCATACCCACAAACAATGGTGACGAGGAGGTGGAGTAGCGAGAAGAGGTGATGCAGCGGAAGGAAGATGGTATCACGATTAAAACAGAAACAGAAAACACACCCTCAACCTCTCCTCCCCTCCCCCCAACAGTCACAAGTGCTGCAGGGAGATAGAGAGTGGAGGAGGAGGAGTTGAACGGCGGCTGTTGATGGCTGCCTGGTCACACCTGTCACCACCCCCTCACTCTCATTCCCCCACGGCGGAAGCAGCAGCAGGGCAGAGGGATGGCTGCTGGCTGCTCACACCAGCCAACCCCACACCTCCTCCCCCCCTCTCCCCCCCCCCCCCAAAAAAATGGTGCATGAGCAGCAGTGAGAGGGAAGAAAAGGTTGGCGGCTGCGGAGTAGGCAGCGCAGCAGCAGTGTGGCGGCAGGAGCTGCGTCAGCCATCCCCGCCACCCTCGTCGCCTCCCCCCACGGCTGCTGCTGTGCGTACCGGAGGCGGGGCAGCGCGTGGGGCAGCGCGCACGTTTGCGTGCGCGGCTGCTGCTGCGCGTAACGGGGGCGGGGCAGTGTGTGGGGCAGTGTGCACGATTGCCTGCGTGGCTACTGCTGCTCATAATGGGACAGGGGGCGGGGCAGCGTGGGACGGGGCAGGTAGCACGGGGCAGGCAGCGAGCGAGTGCTGCGAAAAGCGCCTTCACGGCGCCATGATAGAAAACGGTTGGCCTCATGATTTAATCGCTCTGATACCATGTTAAATTAGGAGGTTAAGTGGAGGGGCCATAGCTAGGGTTTGAGCTAGGAAACGTGAGTGACGAGAGAGATGTTTGGCCAAAGAGGGGTCAATAAGAGGAAAGGCATACAAGATTTTGGCAAGTGAAAGGTGGCCAGGGGGTACACCACCAATAGTTTTACAGTGATACTAGACTGCTAGTCTAGCATGCAGTTATACAATAGTACAAATTATGACTTGCGCTTCTAGCATATGGCGCTTATATCTGGTCCTCGATTATAAGCGCACCCCTGAAGGATTACGTATTACCGTATTTTCCCGGATATAGGACCCCGGGGACTTTCTAAAAATTCATAAACAATTGCTAGAGTGAACATCATGGAAGTTGGAAATTGATAAGACCCCCATACATATGTTTTACTCAATAGGAATTGTTTTTTGTACATACAGTGAAGGATTTTCTACCAAAATCGGGCATCAATCAAAAGCAATCACGGTCAAACCTTCGATCTGACATGGTCAATGTATCAGATTTCGAGTCTGACACATTGACCGCTTCAGAATGGCACTTAATGCACCTATAATCTCATGCGCGAATGTGAAAATCCCTGCAAACTGCATAGGCTACACCAGGGGTCTTAAAATGGTTGATATCAACAGGGGGGTCCTCACGGACTGGTCTTAAATAAGCGTACCCCCCCCCCCCCCCCCTGCATATGAGACCCAGAAGAATCTCTTACTAGAGGGTTCTATATCCGGAAAAATACGGTTTAAGTTCCACCCCCTTTATTAACATGTTATATTTTACCAAGATTTTTGCACTTCCGTTAAACACACTAAAATCAATCCTTACGATTATCATTTTCAAATAGGGATTCTAATACATTCTAAACTAACACAAGCTACTCATCATCTCCAGCTATGGTGGGGTCGTCTAGGTCGGCCTCAGGGTCCGACTCTGGCTCCTCTGCGTTGTTCCAGCAAAATCCATCTGCTGCAATCGCATCGTCCAGGTCGACTCCTCTCTCGAGAGCGTCCCTCTTGTGTTGCATGCAGAGGTTGTCTTGTGACCCATCCAAGGCGTTGCTTATGCCAAAGGTGAGAAACGCACGCTCAATAAACATGTGGAAACAAGTAGTACAGAAAAACTTAAAAGAAACAACACATGCAGCCGTTAAATTCACAGGATGATGTGCTTACCTGAGGGGAAATTCCCCTTGGGAACGATCTTGCGCTTGACAAAGACCCACGTCTTCAACTTCTCTCCGTTGGCGGTGCAGGCGAGCATCACCGTGACTCTTTCCTTCAGATAGCCAACGCTGCGCAAGGGCACGGAGTGCACATCCACCTCCTCGACGGTGCATTCGGCTGCCATCTCGAGCTAGAGCGGCGTCTGATCCGCATTTATAATCCAGCGTAGGTCAATGCCATACTTGTGGCGGGAGTGTTGCACAAACTTCCAGAAGTTCTTGACATGTGTCTCACACTCTAGAGGGAAGGATAGGAGATAGATAAACGAAAAGGAATAACAAGATAAACAACACAAAGATAAAAAAGTCAAACAACATTAACAATGCTGAGAATATTAAGGAAACACCTGAATAAATATGAAAGTTAAAGGCAGCAGTAACAAACAACTCACCAGACGAAAGCTTCTGGCCAACCCTGGTCTTTTCTCGGGTTGTGAGGTTCCGCCGTCCGCAAAAGCGCTCAATCCACCGCTGAGAGCCGGCCCGCGTTACCTTTGGATGCATGCGGCCCACTGAGACAGCGAGACACTTGTTTCAATGGGCGAGAAGACGCGGGTATGCCTCAATATCCATGTCACAGTACCGTGAAGCCCGACCGTGCCCGTGAAGGCGCTTGCGACACCCGGCCGCGCCCTCCAACTCAGTCTTCCGGGTCTTCCATTCTGCGAGGGGCCTTTGGGAGATGCAGGTGTCGTCGGCCATCTTCCACAGACTAACGCTTCTGGATTCCAACTTGCCAATCCACAGCATCTTCTCTAGGGAGGTATAGGCGTTTCGCTTGCGTGTTGTAGGCGTGCTCCTGAGGGAGGGAGGACGGGCATCACGGTTCTCAGTGGAAGGGTGGGGCCGTTTTCTTTTAGGCGGGGGGAAACTAGAAAAAGGAAGGTGCTCGGGAAGACCGTCGCGCGACCAAAACTCAACATTGTCTTCGGCACCAGCCGCGGATTCCCCCCACGGGCAATCCCCCGCGATACCCCAGCGTGGCGACGGAGCGGCGGCGGATTCATTGGTGCCGTTACGCTCGGGCTCGGACAAGTAGGTGTCGCATGCCAAGTAGTCATGAGGGAGGAGAAGCTGCAGAACCAGCGGACCGTTAAAACCAATGTTAGGCAGAGCTGGAGGAGATCGAGGAGCGGGACAAACAGGAGGCACTAAAGAGCAGGCGGGGCTGGTGGTGTTGGAGGCACGGGCGCTGGGCGACTCTGCCAAACGGAGTAGTCACGAGTATCCCTAGCAGCGGGTGGGCACTTAAACAAGAAGTGTGTCCGAGGAAGGCCCGCCATGGCCAAGGCAGGCCAAACGAAACTAGAAACCCTAGTTGTGAGACGAGAATGAGGGCGGTATGAAACCCTCACTTGAGACCCCTCCAGCTTCACGGCCCGGGTTCCTCTGCAGGGAAGGGGTGTCCACAGTCAAGATTCCCCGCAGAGGAGCTGAGCTGGTCAGCTCTTAGCCTCGGTGGCAGGGAATCATGCTCTAGATGGTTACATCATGGCTGTACCATGACGTGCCCTGGACCGCATGCAACACTGATTGGGCAATCGTGATTCGAACTGCGTGTGCGCTGGCATGGGCCAGGTTCACATTCGATGAACCTGGCCTGGCCAACAAGGCATGAAAGGCGTGATTCCATGCCTTGTTTGCAAATTGACGCGGTTTCCATGCACATTTTTGATGTTTCTAGGTTGGATTAGATCCGCGCTTGAAAATGCTTCATTTTTCTTAAAAAAAAAAAACAAAACATTTCATTTATGCCTTTACACTAACGCTCGCGCTTATAAAATCCTTGATTATAAGCCCACCCCCTAAAAAAACTTGGTTTTTTATAACCCAAGGGCCAGGTATATCTGGGGGGAGACGGTACTCTAATGCGGTGGAGCTGGTCGCGGCTCTGCGCAGAGGAGTGGCTCCGGTGGTGGTCAGCGCCAGCAGCAGCAGCGCAGTCGTGAGACTCCGTCCCCCCAGCAGCTTCGTGAGTGGTACGCTGGGCGTCAGCGAGGTGGGGGTACTGGTCCCTGCACCTACGTCCTCCGTACCGGCGACCGCGCTGGTGAGCAGTGCGGGGGCCCGCACTCCACCCAGCGCTGCTTCGGCCGCCTGACGGACGCGTGGCGTCACCAGTTCCCTGACGCCACTGAGATCCCTCGCTGGGGAGACCTGTCTAGGGCGGGGGTTGCTATCTTTGATCTTGATTATTATGCTATTCTTGCTGCCATGTATGCTGTGTCTACTAGTGATGAGGGTGACTGTTACCTGTGTCTTCCGCCTGACCCGGGCGTTGAGGCTGCTGCTCTAGGTGCTGGTGAGACTGCTGCTCTAGGTGCTAGTGCGTCTGCTGCTCCAGGTGCTGGTGAGTCTGCTCTCTCAGGTACCACGTCGGCTCAGGCCTTACACACCTTCACCCTTGACTCGGGTGCTTCCCGCTCCTTCTTTCAAGACCGCACCACGCTTACGCCGCTTAGTCGGCCGGTTGCGTTCTCCCTGGCGGACCCCTCTGGGGGTCCTGTCCTTGCTCGCTTCTCCACTGTCTTACCGTGCCCGGCAGCCCCCTCTGGCACCCTGTCAGGTCTCTACCTCCCCTCGTTCTCTACGAACTTGGTGAGTGGAGCTGATGTACAGGATCAGGGGGTTGACCATTTCACTCCTGCGAGTCAGCGGGTGACCCACTGCACGTGTGCTCGGACGGGCCGACACTTGGCCACGTTTACCCGTCGGCCGGGGTCAAGCCTGTACACACTGTCTACTGAGTCTCCTCCGGTTACTGAGTCTGGTCAGGTAGCTGCGTCGAGTCAGGTGTTTGCTGCAGCGTCCAGGTCTGGTCCTGAGTCTGCGCCCTGCTCGTGTCGTCTCCTGTCCCACCAGACTCTCCTCTGGCACCACCGCCTTGGTCACCCCTCCCTGCCTCGTCTCCGAGGCATGGCCTCCCGTGTCCTTGTCTCTGGTCTCCCCCGGTCCCTACCTCCCCTCCCTCCGGGGCCTGCCCCTACCTGCGTCCCCTGCGTCGAGGGGCGACAGCGCGCCGCACCTCACTCCTCCGAGTTTCTTCCGACAGAGGCTCCACTGCAGACTCTTCACATGGACGTGTGGGGCCCCGCCCGCGTCCGTGGCCAGGGTCACGAGCGTTACTTTCTGCTGGTGGTTGACGACTACTCGCGTTACACCACGGTATTCCCCTTGCGCAGCAAGGGTGACGTCACTGAGGTGTTGATCGACTGGATCCGCGCAGCTCGTCTCCAGCTCAGAGAGAGTTTCGGCTCGGACTTTCCTGTTCTGCGTCTGCACTCTGACAGAGGCGGGGAGTTTTCCTCTGCCCGTCTGGGAGCCTTCTGTCGTGCACAGGGCATCCGCCAGACCTTCACGCTTCCGGCCTCTCCACAGCAAAATGGGATTGCTGAGCGCCGCATTGGCATGGTCATGGACGTCGCTCGTACGTCCATGATCCATGCGGCTGCCTTCCATTTTCTGTGGCCGTTTGCGGTTCAGTACGCAGCGCATCAGCTCAACCTTCAGCCCCGGGTCTCCTTGCCAGAGACCTCCCCCACCTTGCGGTGGACCGGGAAGGTTGGCGATGCGTCTGCGTTTCGGGTCTGGGGATCTCGGGCATTTGTCCGCGACTTGTCTGCGGACAAGCTGTCCCCCCGTGCTGCTCCCTGCGTCTTCCTTGGCTTCCCCCCTGACGCGCCTGGGTGGCAGTTTTACCACCCCACCTCGCGTAGTGTTCTGTCCTCCCAGGACGTCACCTTTGACGAGTCGGTGCCTTACTACCGTCTCTTCC